ATGAAAATCTAAAAATATCCATGGTTATTTATAGTCACCTAAATAAAACATTTCCTCTCTCTCTCTCTCTCTCTCTCTCTCTCTCTCTCTCTCTCTCTCTCTCTCTCTGATACTATTGACACTAATAATGCATGTTTAAATCAAATGTATCCTTATGTATAAGATAAAGAAATGTCTTCACTTTCTTAATTTCATATATTGTTTCATTCACGTGTCTTTGCGTTTGTGTGTGTGTATGTATGCGTGCACGTGAGTTTTGTGTTGTACACTTGTATCATGATTGCCGGACAAATATTTCTCTAAACTCTAATACATGTAATTAAACGAGGAGGGTGACACATCTATGCTCCTGGTACGTCAAGCTTTATGTTTCATATTCACTTTGTGATGGTGTGGTGAAGTAAAGGTTTTGGCTATTTTGAGAGAGTAAGCCGCGTCGTGCCGCGTCCTGTCCTGATTTAAAATCACCACTGTCGTAACTTTATTTATTGGTGTACTCCAGTTAGTTACACAAAGTTCAACTGCCGGTGTTTCAGGCTTCCATGACCAAGGTGAAGGTCACCGTCGCTTTATTCTCTAAAAAAATATGTAACTACTCATTCCGTCAGACAACCCCTCCCCCCCCCCCCTATCCCCCTCCTCCAAAAAAGTCAGCAGCTGTGTTTATTGTTGGATAATGGATTATGGCTAATTAGCTGGCATAAGTTAATTGCCTAATGCAGTTCTGGTTTCAATGATCTCCTTATCCACCGACACAAAATCCAATCCATTCCTATCTATCTGGTAGTTGTGTGTTGATTATTAAACAGACAGGCTATCCTTTTAAACCATATATAACAATAAAACACCAAAGGACCTTTTCAAGTACAACATTTATTTATACCAGTTAACAATATACAGAAAATATATAACAAAATGACCATGAAACAGATGGACAGACATGACAATAATGATCCATGCTCATCTTATACAGATTTTAATATATCTTTTAAAAAAAAAAGAATATTTTTCATTTTTTTGTATATATTGTCCTATTAACAAATAAAATGTTGACAGCAGCTTACAACAACACATACATATATATGTCAATTTTCCATACAAGCATGGGCCATGAAAAAAACCATTTTGGCAAGATTTTAAATGTAAAATTTCAGACCCGAAGTCATCAATACTGGCCTCAGGAGGCTTGTCAAGGCTTGCAAGGAAACAAAACTATGATCAGTAAGTCTGTCCATATTTCATAAATTAACCATTACCATTTAACTAGAAAGTCCTAAGCAAAAAGGGGTTTCATTCCGTTTCACAACTAAACCCAACTCACATAACTTAATATGTGTAACCCTGAATTTTACTACAAATTTCATTTCTTCCTGAATTTTTTTTATTAAAAATGATTCTGTTTTAAAAAGATAACATATACACACCAAGATGTACATGTTTGGCTTACACATGTAAAATGACATGTACACTTAAATACAAAAATTTGTATAAATGAGAAAGTACAATTTAACACTTTTATGTGCAGCTCTTTAGCACTATGAACCCAGGAGAAAAACATGACTAATCACTCTAAAACTGTGTGACGTGTATTAAGGTTAACAAGAACTGTTATAAGACTAATGTTTTTCCTACAAACTGATTGGTAAAAATACCTCTTATAGGTCTAAATATATATTGTAATGTTACACTGTAACAGGAAGAATCTGTACATGGACTTGAAAACATAAAAGTATAACCCATGTAGGGCATTTCACATACAAGTAAAACAATCCACTAATCTGTGCTGAAATTTTTGACCAATTGGAAGCATGGGTTGTCATCATATTATAAAACAATTATTGACCTGTTTTCAAGTTAACCGAGAAATTTATTAACCATTGAAAGTAATATTTCCCACTGTTTATTATACAACCAGACACTTTGATGTACAATAATGTACTATGAATCATCGTTCAATAAAAATTAAAATAATTTCTTGGTATCCAGAAAACCCTAATGTTGAGAAAATTTTGAAAACAAAATAGCTTCATATTGAACTGTAAAAAAACTTTGCATGAAAATAAATGATGATTATGATAATGGCCTTTGTAAAAATAGGAACACATTTTACCTTTTTAACATTGCACTATCCTGGTCGTCAATTGCTATAAGACATATTCTATATTATTAACATAAGATTTAAAAGCAAAGCCTGGATCAACTTGAACAACTTTCCAATTTTATCTAAACTAAACATACTGTAGATAAACTAATTTGATGCGATCAAATTTGAGCACATGACCACTTTTTGGCAAATTACACTATGATAAATTAGCACATCTGCAATGATTACTGAATGTATACCAAAAACTTAAATTGGCGCAATATTTCAGCTCAAAAAGTGCTAAAATAAGATTACCACTGAAATGTCCACATTTACAGTAACACATATGGTTTAATTGAAACCAAAAGCAAATCACTTGAAGAAGAAAGAAATTTGAACACTGGGAATTATTTGAGGTAGTGTGAAAACAGACATACACAAACACCCAATAAAACGCAAGTACCATTTTTGAAAAGCATTGCATTGATAATTACTACAATATCAGGAAGCCCAAGTTTCCTCGGTCACCCACAACAGACGGTAGACATTTTGACTGATATATACAAAACATGTCTGTCAAAAAGTCTAATGTCCAGGGCAAAAGGAAACTTTGGCTAAATATAATGATTGTATGTACAGTATATACATTATCATGTTTACAGTAGATGAAAAACCTTAACATATATTAAAACTGCTGCACTTAAGTTCCACTGATTAACATCCAAGGGTTTGGTGCTAAATTTCACTATCAGTTCCAACAATTCATTTTCATAAATACTTGAGTGAATGTTGGAAAAATTTATTAAATCATCTCTGAAGTATTATTTGGTATTTGTTTTGTTCATCTATTTTCATATTTAATTTTCAATCACAACAAAAAAATGTTTAATTTCTTTATGGATACAAGTAGGAACGAGATGAGATCAGAACTGAACTGCTGAACAGCTACATCAACGCCATAATTGTCAAATAACAGGAACAATGTATAGGGATTCTGTTGTCAGAGAGTTGTTAAATACAATCTCAGTACTTTTGATTCTTAGAAAACCTACACAAAATTTGTTTGTCCTTGTTAAATATTTATTCTAATAGCTGTGCATTACCTAATATAATAACATCATTATGTCTGAATATGCAAAAAATGACACTTTTAGGAAGTCTGACGATCCTAATTTAAATATATCTATGAACTAATTAGGCTTTCCCTTTTAAATAAATATATAAGCAATTAAGTTTATTTTTTTTATCAAAATAGAATTAAATATCAGGATACATTTCTTATGCATTAAATAGTTAAACATCCAAGGAATGATTACATGTATGAAGTTCCAATTTGATGGTACAATGTACCGCACTATAAATAAACCAAAATATTGGAAATATATAGAAATAAAAATTACATTTTTTCACATAAAACAAAATAATCAGACATTTGATGGAAGGATGAGGTAAAAACTGAGATTTTTGCAAGATGAAATGACATTTAAAGTTATTTTGCAGCATCAGTTTTACAAAATGAAGTTTTTGATAACTTTCTGTATAGGTCTTCGACAAACTGGACAGGGTTTCCTCTGACGTTTCAGCCGACGAGCACACTTAAAACAACAAACTTGATGCCCTGTGCTGCCATGGATGATGCTCGCTGTTTTAGGACGACACAGACACGTCATACACATATCGCTAGGCAATGGTTGCAGAATCATACTTGATCTGGAGTTATTTGATTGCTGTGAAACCTTTTCTTCAGGACCACATACCATTGTTTCTCCTGAAGACAATTTTTCTGATGCTTGAGATTCAGTGTTTGGTTGAATGATCTTGTCTTCAACAAAATTTTCAGTCAATATTTCATCTTTTTCTTTTGAACTATTGCTCAAAGATCTATAATTTAGGAAAGTTCGCCTCATTCCAATAAACTTCGCCTGTGGGCTGTCTTTTAGTGAGATTTCTTTCTCTGGACATGATATCGTTTCCTGTTTGTGCGATTTAGACTCTTCAAGTGTGTCTAATTTTTCAGTGGTTGTTTGACTGCATGTCGGCGTGACAGAACTACAACTTGTGTAAACACCAGAATCCAGTAATTCTCCATCCGATGATGACACCTCACCTGGGACAGCTTTAACCCGCCTCTTACTAAACCTGGATGGACGCTTCTCATTCTCACGGTCTGGCAGCCAATCAGGACGCAGTTTCCAACATCGGGAACAGTACCTTTGCGTTGGAGAATTCTTTGTCTGGCATTCTTGACAAGACCACTTGTCCTAAAAAAGCAATACAAGTCTTGAAAAATTGTTTTTTCTATGAAAAGTCCTGATTTACTTGTACAGATGTATACCCTATTAAACTTTGAGTGCAGATTCCTTTCACTTCTTTTTAATTTAAAGTAAATAAATAAACTATTCAAGGGATTTTGTTTTCATCATAGAGAAATGTAAGTCATCTTGTTTGATCGTTTATCCTCTATAGATTGTGAGAATTTACCTTCTATATCCTAAAGCAGCTTTCCTACCTGTCAAAACAAACACATACCTCATCTGAAAGCTCTGTGTCTGTCTCTGGTCCACTAGAGTGGTCAGCCCAAAACTGGACATCACTGTCATTGCAAACCACCAACACATCCTGTATATATAAGGAACTCATGAGGACATTATTTTACAAAATACAATGATTTTTTTTAAACACCTATATCTCCAGAACTACATCTCCACCTCCCCACACCCAACCTCCATTTTACACAGACAATAAAGATTAAATAAAACCTAATCATCAATTATAAATAAATCATGTAATAATGTGCCCACTAACTAACAAAATATATTAATTTGTATCTGAGAATGGACATATATAGTTATTACTTCTATTCCAAATCTCACAGTAGCATTATTTCTGTTGAATACTGATCTAGAAATTACTTGCCAAATAGACAAAACATTACCACTACAAACATTGCCCACTTACCCCTCCAGAAAATGGTGATGATGACTCAGAAGAATTGCTGTTGTCAGTGTCATCTGAATCCAGCTCATACTCAACGGAGAAAGTATCAGAATCTACATCTACAGCAAGAGAGTTAACAGTTACGGACTCATCCTCCTCCACAAACCACATATCATCTGTTGAGTCCTCAACTCGCGTCGTCTCTTTCCCCTGGTCAACCAAAATATCCAGAACTAGACACGAGCACATTCACAGATTAAACTGTGTACAGGTTGATTTAATACATGGTCTTTTAACACAACCGGTTAGAAGAACATTATATACAATCTATGCTACCAACCAGAATGCATGAAATTTTTCATTTTTTACCTTTGGAAAAATGGTTCTCATTTATTCTTAGATTGATTTGCATTAAAGTAGGAAGTCAGGAGTTTTTCCGTTTTAGGTCACTGGTTTGAGTAGATACAAGTTTGTAACAAAATGCAATGCCTTGAAACATATATACTAAATTTTTCTCATCTGTTTAGCAGAGAAAAAAGAAATACCTGTATACTTAGAACCTCACTCTCCTCGTCCGTCGTCTCCATCTTGACTTGAAAGTACCAAGGGTACCTAGAGCCATCTGTGTCAGGCTCGTTGTAGGTGATGCTGACCGAAGCTGGGCGTCGCTTGTTGTCCGAAGATCCACTTGATCCTCCAGTATCTAAAAAGTGGCAAAGAATTGTTTTTATAAATTAAGTATATACTTTCAAATATATCTTAGATATATATGTAAATTTTCAGTAGCTTTTAAAGGGATATATATCGTTTCTATTGATAAAAGCCAGGCAAATCTTAGTTTCGAAATTTAGTACTTCATGCACCAAGTGAAATTTAAATAAAATTTTAACCAGCTGTCCATCTATTTTTTCACTGTAAAATAATTACTTTTCATGGGGGATTTATTTCCCCTGATCTGATGGGCATTTTTCATCAACAAAATCAATATGTTGAAATAAATCTAAAGAAATTTATGTAGCTATATTTATAAATGATATCTAGTGTCCACAAAACAGTATTTTTGGAAAAGAACCAAGAAAATTGAACTCCATGAAAATATGAGATTTTATAGTATCAATTACATTTTACATGAATAGAATCGATGGTGCTTTGTTAGCCAAGATGGCTTGCCATACATTTGGAGTCTCAACATCAGCAAGGAAACTGGAGCTCCCCAAGGGACTCAACATATAAGTATTCAATGATGATAATGACAAACTTAAAGTTACATACATCCTGTGTAGATAATCTGAATTTGTCACAACTAGCAAAAATTGTTGAAAAGATGTGTAAACTAACAAAGAACCTGTTATAGTAGGTATAGAACTTAAGTCTCGGTTCACTTAAGGACCTTTAGCTCAATCCATTATCAGGTAATATGTGTGTGTTGATTATTACCAGATGTCACATGACATGAGTTCGTTAAATGAATGGATTTGACTGAAGTATTTGGTGCCATTGGGCCATACCTTTACGTTTCCTTTTTGTGCTGGTTTTTGATGACATCTTGCCTGTCCCAACTGGAGCAATGTCCTGAGGGTGAGAAGTTGCTTCTTCTGCAGCACCAGCACCTTTGGGTGACTTTCGTCCCTTAGAGGTGGTATGTGGGCCAGTACTACTGGTAACAATTGGTGATGCCCGACATACCTCTATCGTTAGGGAACCACTTCCGGAACTAGCAACTCCCTGACAATAAGATTTTAATTATCAAAATAATGTTCACTAATATATAGTTTTCAATATTCAAATAACACTCTTATTTCACAAACTATAAGTATATGTAGGCTCTGTTCACAGGAAACTCCTTTTCATATGTTGTTAATAAATCTAGATACATAAACATACTGATTGCTAAAAAGGATTGGGTGTGGCCCCTTATGTTGATGTTAGGGAGGATGGGGTGTGACCTTTTACCTGACGGCTAGGGAGGATGGGATGTGACCCCTTATGTTGACGTTAGGGAGGATGGGGTGTGACCTTTTACCTGACGGCTAGGGAGGATGGGATGTGACCCCTTATGTTGACGTTAGGAAGGATGGGGTGTGACCTTTTACCTGGCGGCTAGGGAGGATGGGATGTGGCCCCTTATGTTGATGTTAGGGAGGATGGGGTGTGATCTTTTACCTGGCGGCTAGGGAGGATGGGATGTGGCCCCTTATGTTGATGTTAGGGAGGATGGGGTGTAATCTTTTACCTGACGGCTAGGGAGGATGAAATGTGGCCCCTTAGCTGGTGGATAGGGGAAATGGAGTCCTGTACCTGGTGGCTAGAGGAGGATAAAATGTGTCTTTTTACCAGGCAGCTTGTGAAGATGGGATTTGGCTTTTTGCCTGATGGCTAGGACAGATGGGATGTGGTCACTTACCTGGTGGCTAGGGAAGATAGGATGTGGTACTGCTGACTGGGCAGGTCCAGTTGGGTTGCCATGGTTACCTTGTAAAGGCCTTGTCACATAATGACATTTACGTTTGATGCAAGTATCTGGGACTTGGTAACAGTTTTTCCCAATGAGATCCCTGTGAAATAGAGTTATGACACAAATTAAGCCATGATTATGTGGCAAAAAGCATGGAAGGTAGGGACATTAACATGTCTGCCAGAATTAATAGATTTTCATATACCCCGGGTATATCAAACTATTTATGAACTACAGAGATTAATGAGAGCTAAGGAAACAAAGAATTGAACTGTTAAACTGCCAAGAGATCCCAGGATGATCCTGGCACCCACTATTGTTTGATCTTTATTTGTTTTTTAAAAGATGGATTTTTCCCCTTCTTTTTACTTTCCTTCCCTGTTTTTGCTTTTAATGATAAGAAATTTTATCATTCCTTTGCAGATTTTGTATAGTTTAAGTATGGACAGATGGACAACTGATGACAGACCAAGCATGTAGGATGATTTGAATAGTCAACAATCATCTGATGTTGGGCTGATAAAATATGGTTTTATATTGAAATAATTCAAGGTATGGCATCTATTGAGAACCCTAAACCATTATAACACTGCAACCATTGGGTCTTTCTGTGGGGGTAATATCTTTCTCTAACAGGCACATAGAAAGTGGTATACCCTTATTGTTGGTTTTTCTCAATTTTGTGAGAGATGTTTTAGGCAGATTTTACTCCTTGCAGACTTACAGCACATCGCTGATGGTAAACTTATCAACCCCAAACACTTGTCCCAGTGATGTCCCCTGGCAGTAGACGAGTCGTGGGTCACAAGGGTCATACAGGCTGTGGCTCCCAATGTACTGCTTCAGGAACTGGCAGATCTGTACAAGACATAGTCATAAGTCATAAAAAAGATGGAAATAAATTGTAAAATAAAGTCTTTTTTTGCTGCCTACGAGAAGAGAATATAATTGTGGAAAATAGATACTGTACCTTGAAAATATAACCATTAATGTCGCTAACTTATCTGATTAGTTCAGGTGAACCAGATATTGGCAATATCCTAACCTGAATAGATAGTGAGAAACCCTGAAAAACCTGGTATTTCTTTACTTTTCTTGACTCAAATGTCAAATTTGGTCAAAATAATAATCAATTATTTACAAAGTACATCAAATATATACAGATGTAGGTAACTATACAATAGAATTGATCATAAGGTCTCATTCCTGGCTACCCATTTAAAACCCTGTGTCCCTTGATTTTGAAGGGCTATGACTAAATATTAGATGACTAGATGGTGGTGACTGAATAATTATCAAAAATCACAGTCCATTTCAACAAAAATAAATCCTTTTCCTTTCAAACAGTGATTTTGGAAAATAAAAAAAAACTCTTGCAGTATTGCTGGCAAATTTTAGAAGTAGTCTTTCAAGATAAGATTTTATTTCATCCTTTCAAAACTTAATTTTTGTACCTTAAACATTGGATTTTTCAAAGATGAATTTGACAAACTATTCATGCAAGTTGAAAAGTATATCAGGATGATTGATTAAGAAAATCATTATTTATCAGCAAAATCAGAGTAAGAACTGGTACATAGACCTAATACTGACCTCTTTTCTTGTAAAGATTTCTCCTGTGGCTCCAACTGATTGCAAAAATGTAAGGAGTTCTTGCTTTGGTCGAAACTGATTAAAACAAAACACGAGTTTAACATTAAGTTGACAAAGTGACAGCCTACAATCTATTACACAAGATCAGTCAGTCTTTGAGATAACTTTTTCAGGCTAAAGTTTAGATTACTTTTCTGAAAGAATATGAGATTACAAAACAGAACATCAACCATCCTATAAATAAAATTTACGCTTTCTTTATTTACGTAATTTTTAGTAGTATTAGGAATTTTCTCCCTCAGCCAATCTTTTTCTCTGCCCAGTAGGAAAATCATAAACATAACTTTAATATCAATTGTAATCACATTCTGAAATCAAAGATATTAACAGGTAATACCAACAGAAAAACAATCTGTAAAACCAAGTTTTCAGAAGAATTCTTTGACTTAAGGACTGAAATACTTCAGATCGTTGCTATAATCACTCGGCTCTTCTGATTAAATCTCCTAATCTGTTAAACTTACCAGTGGTACTCCCACTGTATACTCCTCCGCCACCACATACTGGGATCTGGAGCTTGAAGTGGTGGTAGTTTCAGAGGGACTTTGCCCATTTCCTGTGGTAGTGGTAGTAGTAGTGCTCTCAACCTGTTAAATAATACATTGAAACACATTTACAGAATGTACATACCGGTATTTGGAATTCAAATCATTGTTTGTTTAAAAATCTTAATATGCATATGCATATCAAAGGATTCCTGACATTTTTAGATTCAATACAATCAGAAAAAGTGTGTGAGAATTATATACTGGGTTCAATTAAAATATTGTTATCGAAGTCCTAAAATACACAAGCATTGAAAAAAATTATTAACATTTACAAACGGTCTTGAAAGAATACCAAGGTAATTGATACAGAAAAATAAACATTCAATATAATCAATATTAAATTCACTGATTAGAGACTGTACTTCATCCTAAAATGGGGCAAACACAATACCTCTGACTCAAAGTAGGAGATAGGATTGAATTATTCCAGGAAGATTATGTGAGATTTGAGATTTTTATTGAATTTCCTTTAGAAACTGGTAGGCTTATTACAGATAAATATAAGATCTTAAATGAGTGCTGTAAGTAAAATGAAGTCAAAGAAGGTTTTATTTGTGTGAGAATTGACGAGCAAAAAAAAAATTGAAACTGTTTCATAAAATCTCATATGAAATAAGAAAAAAATTTAAGAAACTTTCATCACAAAACTCAGAAAAGTTACATTGTGAAAGATTTTAAAGTAAAAATAAGGAGGATAAAATCAAACAGAAAGGGCCATTTTCAATTACAACATCATATCATAGTTCATATGCTGATATCACGATCAATTTCTGACCTTTACACCCAAGAAAAACACTCCTGGGTATGTTACACTAGTAACATATTTATGGGGTAACAGGTGCATTATGTGATAAAAATATACATGATCATGTTGGGGTTAAATTTTAGATAAAGAACAAATTTCTCTTCAATAGTAATACATTTGTATATACATACAATTTAGTACGTTTAAATGAAATTTTCTGAATCCACAATTAAGTTTCTCCTGAAAATTTCTAGTCCAATTTAAAAATCATGACATATTTAGAAACTTTCCTTGAATTTTTTAAAGGTATGTTTTCATTTGTGAAAATCTTAAATATTTTTTATGAAACTTAATTTTCAATGAAGATGCAAAATAAGAAAATATTAAATGTAATCTCCTTATATCTTGAAACAATTATTTTTTTTTTTGTAGGGAGTGCAAACAGAAAAATCTGTAATTTATTATCTTCTATAACTGAAACCTTTTACAGTGCCAACAGATAACAAAATCTGTGATTTGTGATGCAAAAAACTACAGGAAAAACCTGCTTATGGATGAACCCTCAAAGAAAACATGGACGTGACATGCCATCAACACACTAAACCTAACAAGTATACACCCCGCTATAAACATGGTATGTACATGTTCTATGATCAACACAAGGCAGGACTCGTTCATAACGTAATGATCCTGTCCAAACCAATACATACCTATACATGCATTATCATGAAAGTCATTTAAACGGTCAGTTGACCCCATCCACTCAGATTTAAAGATAAAGTACACATAAATTGCAATCTGTGTTTTAAAGTGTTTACCAATGAAAAAGATTAAGTAGGCTACGTTAGACCTGTTATGGATAACATGTCCAGTCCGTTACTTAAAGTGATGTATTTTATCTTTAGATATTAAAGATTAAAATATCGTAACGATTTTGTTGCACCCCTATTAAATTAGGTCTATATATTCAAAGATATAGAGCTTTCCCGGAAAGAGAAATGTTATACCGATATATATATGGTGTTATAAATAGTGTTTTACTCACTTGATTTGTAATAATGAAATATTTGTCTTTAAAAACTAATTGCTAAATGGAAATTAGTCCTAATTCCAACATGACTTGAAACTCCAATAAACTAAAACAAAATTACTTAAAATTCATTAAAATGTTATGGAGGTAAATGTTACTTTGATTGATTACTTTTCAATCAATACAGGTAATCAATAGAATACAAATCCTATTACCAACAATTTAGTCTGTTAATTAAGTGTTATAATGCATATCCACCATAAAATTTTAATTTACTAAGTTACATTTTGAACTTTACAGTTTTTCCATGATTTATGAAAACATATACCTTAATTCAGAGTAGTTGCAAAGAGTTGAAGTTTAAAAATGAAATATGTTTACTTGTGTTTACCGTACATTTCAAACTTTAACACTTGGTTGTGATTTAATGGACATTTGTGTTTGAAGTTACAAATGCAATAAGTTTATGTAATTAAGTGGTTTTTTTTAAATATAATTAGATATAAACCACTAATTACAAACAGATATTTAAAACAAAATTGTGAGATTAGGAGTATATTAAAACATTTTTTTCAAATCAAGTTAATTTACATATGTACAAGAAAACTTTATCTGCTAAATTTTATCTACTTGCATTGATAAGAATGAATCTAGACTTGCCTAACATCTGAAAAATTTGATATAAGTGGTTTACCAAGATCGGATATGGTAAATAATGCTACATTGTATCAATTTTTTCTCTAACATCAGGAAAGTTGTGAATCCCAAATTTACATTTTAAAATTATGTTAAGGATCACATTAACTTACAAAGCATGCAGAATTCAGTGAATCCAATGGAGAACAAAAAGGAAGCAAAAAATTCTCTACCTGGCATTTCTGATGACAGATGCTTCGAAGCAAATAAGTTTCCATTTTTCTACAATAGAATTGCCTACCATATCACTTTCTCCAGGATTCCATGTAAAATTTGAACAGATATTTCGGCAAAAGCGCATGCGCTTTCGTGAATTTCCCCCCATTTTCTGACAATTTCCGTCCCCTTGCGCAGGCGCTCCAAAAACACACCTAATTTTTATAGAATTGGAAGTGTCAAGAGCTCTAGGATTATTGCATCAATGCTATATATAGCCAGACCCAGTGGGATTTGATTTTCATACTACATACACTGTACTTGCTGGACCATGAAGCCACAGCTATACAAGATCTGTATATAACCCTAAACTGACTATAAATATCTTACCTGTGTAGAAGGAAGATCACTCGACAATTTATCTCCAGAACCTGCGGACATAATAGGCCGAAAGTAGTACCCTGAAAATAAATGAAATAAATATGAATCAAAATTTTAAGTTTTGAAATTTTGAAAATTGTTTTCAACTATTTGCAGCTAAATATGTCAGTATCTTATTTATGAATACAAAAGGAGGTAAAGTTTTAGCAAAATAATGGATACAATAAAAACTGACCAATATTTTATTATTCTGTTACTCACTGTCCCCCTCCCAACTTTTTTGTATTATTTTTCTTTGTTTTTCTTTTAAAGTATTATGTTATAAACATGATGATTTTAGTGGTTTGGGGCTTAAAGCTTCACATTATGAACATTATGAACATTATGAAAGATCAATATGAATTCAAACTTATTGATCTTTGTCCACTATAGTAACCTATTCATATTTCAATGACAATCACTTGAATAATTAGGAAATATTTCCTCCCTTGAGAAGGTTGTTTATTGTGTTCCATAGCAACAGTATATTGAATTGATTTTATCATGGCATGCATCAATCAAGAATGTCAGAAAAATTATCAGTATCATACCTGTATATACAGGTTACCACATGACAATCTTATGATTTACCACCCCCCCCCCACCCCCACCCCCAATATTGATTTATAGCCTGACTAGCAACCTTATTTTAACCTGACAACCCTCTATATCCAAATAGACTGACCTGAACAATAAAAAGTTTCTTAAAATTATTTAGAAAATTACAACATAGGAAAAGGGCTTTATAACAAATGTTACGACAATAAGTATTTTCCATACAGTTACATATTGATTTATTGTGCATGGTAATTATATATTTCATCCAAACACCAGTAGACAAAGTCTACACAGCTTCAGGAAACATATGGATAAAGTTGACCTTCTATTTTAGTATAATAATGAGAAATTAACAAATTAGTATACTTAATATGGAATGAATCATTAGTTTATCTTTGTTATCTATATTATATAATCATGCAACTTTTTTTTCATATCATATTTGTATTTACAATGCTAGAAAAACTTACTAGTAAGTTTAGTTTGAAAAAAAAACCCGATGAAATTTTCCATGTTAGTCCAACTTAAACTAGTTGAATTTTATCTAAATTTTATTGATCATGATAAAGAATCTCATTAATTAATTATTCAATAGCTAAAACCATACAAGTACAAGTGCATCAAGTTGAGTTTAACAGACGTCAACAGACAGCGCAGAGTATACCATAATACTACCCGCATATGAAAAGCACATTCATCAGTATGCTTCAAAGTAAAACTTGCATACACCCTATTCCAAATGACACAATAGCATTTTAAACTTTCTATCTGATGTTTTATAAGATTTTCTTACTGTATATCAAATTAAGTAGGCAAAACAATATCAACTCAACTAAAAATATTTGTTATTTTTTTTAAGAACCAGAGATTTAATAATATTTGACATTTAATAATGAATTATCTTGTGGAAAGTTTACATAATTTTTACCTCCCAATGCTTGAATGTTTTATAGATACAAGTCATTTGGGAATATCTCCATTTCAAGTGTGAGAACACAATACCTGCCATATAAATGTGTCAGGTGGAAAAGCTGACCAGGCTATGTGTAAGCCTACCTGTTGCTGCTGCAGAGGCTGGGAGATCAAAAGACTAATCAGGTGTATGGTGGGGTGTAGTTATAGATGCTCTCATTGATTTTCTACCTGGGAGAGTTTTATAGGTAGCACAGGTAAGGGCATGTCTCTACTGGCTACATTCATACACCATGGCCATGAAATAACATGTACATTCAACATACTTACTTAATACCAGTACACTCATATATCGAATTTTTCTTTTCTTTTAATATGGTCAATTTTATGATTTTACAGAAGAAATTACAGTTTTAAGAACCTAGATTTAATCTTATTAATTTCTACTGCAACAAACAATTTAAATCGACTGTGCTCTCACACATAATTAAAATATCTGCATTTAAATCAAAGTTTAAATACAACCAGTGCAAAATACATACAGAAGTATCTTTTTAAAACCTACATAAAATGCGCTTTTTAAGAAAAATAAAAAGGAACAGTCAATGTATTAGTCGTAAATAACGTATTGTGACAGGTTTTCTTGTCTTGCCATTGTACATAAACATGTCAAAAAGTGCTCATTTTTTGGAAATAGAACTGAAATCAGTTTGAAATTTGAAAGTGAAATATGAACAATACCTTTCATCATGAATTCAAGTTATTTTCAAAAATCTATTTTTTTCCAGATGTAAATATTATTTAATAATTTTAAAAAAATCAATTGAATATATAGGCATTTTTCTGTAAAAATGGACCTTCAAAGGAAAACAATTAAAACACTGTAAAATGCAAGAAAGATAAAATACCTGTAATCAAAATTCAATTACAAATATTCTGTTTTCACTTAACAAGATGAGGTTAATTTTTTTTCAAAATTTCTCTATCTTTTAAATACGAGTACTAGAGTTAAACAAATAAATTGCTGATGCGGGAAAGATGATCATGACAACATATTCATAACAGCAGCTTTTCTGGAGAGTTATCGTTTCCATTTTCCATCTGATAATTCAGTGGGACTACCCTACATAAATACATGGTTAAGGGTACACTGTACCCAAGTTTCAAAATATGAGTACATGGGGGAATTCACACTGTCTGATAAAGAAATCATTTCCCCTTTTTTAACACATTAGATTAATATTATCAGTAGAAAAACTTGTTTCTGAATCCAATGAATACAGAAATAGAAATAACACTTTCGCAAAAGTTGACTGAAAAAAATATTCATACATTTGGTTGGCTATTCAAATATCTATTTACAGGTATGTATCTGACAACTTTCACCAAGAGGATGATGTAAGTAAAAGGGGAAAATGAAGAACCTTACCTCTGTGTAGCATGGTTAGAAAATATTGGTGGCCGAACACAATGAATGGTCAGTGGTAAATAATAGCACAGCATACCATCTGTCACTGAATTCCTCACAACTAATCTAACATACTCTCCACATGTCTCATAACACTTAATACAAGTCCTGTCATAGGTTTAAAATACAACAGCTGATGTCCACTATATACTATACTGTTGATAAGTGTCTAAACTTGCTTGTCCATGTTTAGTTCCTTATGTCACTATGTGTAATCAGAGACCCTGTTGGAGCTCATCCAATTTAAATGCTAGCCACAATATTATCTACATGACTGTAGGTTGTATGTGCTGACTAGCAAGGTGTTTTTCATCAGACAGCCCCTGAACCTGACTGAGACTTGTCTGTACAAGTCTGTCAGCCAACCTGGTGATGTAATTAACCTGGGCATATTCTGAAGCATTGTTAGTCTAAACACCAGTATCTATATTTGGGGGTATATTTGCTTCTTAAAAAATCCAACAATTCAAAATTTATGTCATGTTTGTTTGCATATGCATATTACCATAACATGTGTACACAAATCAAAGATACTTAGAGTAAAAAAGATAAAATCAGTGGTAAAGTGCTAGGTGTAATGAGTCATATTCTAAGTTTGTGTGTATTAGTTAATACACATGTTACATGCTACTTTTTCTCATGCGTTTTCTCATTACTTACTTATTGAAAATCTACATTTAAACCATATACATATACTGATACGATATGGGTTTCCGTTCTACTCGTATTCTCATCTGTTGCCGCTTGTACTGAGACAGCTGTTTTATTATCATCTGATCATGCCGCCAGACAAAACAAAGACATGTGGAAAGCATGACCCGAAACGTGTTCAGACTTGCTCTCCATGATGTAAACAGAAAGTACTGGGATCCCACACACATCCGGTTGTAAAACGAGGCTACGGAACTCCCCTTCTCGTCAACCTGAGAGGGAGGGTGCATTTAATTTTTTCTCTGTCCTACGAAAGACAACATCGAACGAAGTGAGTAAATCCATTTCATACTCAGAATCCTGCAAGATTAGTTATAAATCGGACATGATAAAAATAAATGGCATATATAAGTGTCATATTGAATATCTAATGGAAATCTTACCTTTTCAACCAAATGTGAAACTCAGGTAGGAGCTAACATTGAAGAATTATAATTGCAAATCTTCTCCCATCGTATGCTTTGTTTCTTTTCGAAAGTAACCACCGATAATTACGCTGTTCACCTCATGTCGGTGGAATATAATCCCGAAATGCCAAATCTAGGTCTAACGTGCACCTCGCGGAAATACTGGAGACTTCCGGTTTTAATACAAAACGCGGGAAAGCATGTCAAACAAACCAGATCACAGGGGACTGTCGACTGAAATATTGCCACTGAATAGAAATTGGCAAAGGAATTAAATATAAGACGATGATTAGATCAATTAACATTTTTTTTTGTTTATAATCAACGTGACGCTATGAAACTGTTGATACATGCATATGTTTATTATAAAAACACTCATAATATCTTGTTTTGAATGGAGATACGCCTAGTGATTTCTGCAAAATTTGAATATGAATGACGGATCATTCTACAAATTAAGGTCCGTACAGCGCTCTTTGTGAACTATGATAGTGTTTTGAGATTTTTTTTCGTGAATCAGCTCAGAATAGACAAAATGATAATCCATGGACATGCATCTTCCCTGTGATTAACGATGTCTTAGCTTAATTACTTTACAAACGTTTCAGAATAAAGCAAAAAAAAATGTTTATACCTAAGTGGTATAACATAACGAAGATATTTTTGTCAATACCTTTCTATCAGTAGGATTAAAAATCAAAACTTTCTGTATACGTGCATTGAACGTGACCTTACCTGTGACAGGTACAAATTACTAGAGAATTTATACGTAGCCACGGGCGCCAGAATTTAACAATGACATAGATCACAACGATCTCTCGTTTGCTGTTTATTAGGGTCATCAAGTTTCGGCCACACACAGCTATTTTTCTGGTACATGTATGTCCTTTTTTGGCCTCTGTAATAGGTCTGGTGATCGAAAGGCGCAGTGGAAACGCACTCGCTACATGTGACAATTGGAGAACTAAAATATGACAAAATGTCTTTCTAGTGTAAGTAGAGATCTACAGGAATGACTCATATGATATGCTGATATGATAAAAATAAACCGATATATCAATATCACAGGGACATGAGAATATGCTACATAAGGTTTTAATTTCTGTATTGAATGTCCTCGCAACAGGCAGGGTTTTAAAGAAACGTGTGTCAAGAGGGATGTCATAGATAAAACAGAGGAAAATAAAGCCCAGAAAGAAAGAGCGAGAACGACAGGGCAACATCTAGATCCATGGGAACACTGGTCTCCCAGAATTACATCCTTTCGTTCCACTCTGTCAGTCATATCTGTCAGATAGTATAGCGATAAGCTTTACAGCTGATGGGGCCCAAGAATGCAATGCAGACGGCATGTCTATTTGGCCTCTTCAATGTCGCTTAAATAAAAGACACGTCAAGATAGTCGATTCTGCAGTAACTCCATATTTGGTCGTATCTTACGAACACACAATGGAATACAGCAAACCCTATTCTTCTCTATGCGATGCCCCCTAGACAGAAGGCACCCCATACACACGCCCCTACCCCACCCCTCCCTCTGCGAGGGTTGCCCACATGCACGGAGACACATCAGTCTCCTATTTGAAAAAAAAATCACGAAAAAAACTAACCATTAGCCTTAAAATACTTAGTTGTAACAGGGACATATAATACAGTATTATACGTCCCTGGTTGTAATATTGGTTTTGGTGGAATTTGTCGGAAGGTTATATCGACAACATTTCTGTTATATAATTATTCATCTGAATCTATATTCTAAATTCTTATTCCTGGAATGCTATCATTATTATTTAATATCTTAAATTTTGATTGATGTGTCTGTGTACTTATTTAAGTTGTACGGAGAGGGCTTTCATAAGACTCTGCCTGTTGCCCAATTCCATTTGTCATCAACATCAAGACAATAAAATATTCTGAAATGAAAAGTATCGACAAGCGATAATTAACCAACTCGTCCACTGAAAGGTCGTAATAGTGGAAGTGAAACTATTAAATAAAGCTAACAAATAGACAGAAAGTTAACCAGAAAGTTACACGTGTTACAGTCTTTGATTCTTTTGTATCCGTAGCTTTTAACACCTCTTTATAGTAATTCTCTAACATGACGTGGTTATATATCGTTGCGACTCAGGTTATCTATTGTGTGACGTGACCATCCCATTTGGCACACCCAGCTGTTTTTCACATACTTATAATAATCATTTTATACTTGTAGTAATCACTTTTGTATACCAATGCATCGTGTTAGATTTTCACGATTTAGCAGCACGTCTTCCCACAACGTCCAACCAAAACGTGTTTGTGACACCACTTAGATTTATAAGTCCATGGTGATACACAGGGATTTGGTGGAACGAATTTCCATCCCCATGTACTATCTGTAATATATTTGCCACGGGTTTGTTCTACGTGCTAAGCCCCTGTGTTGTGAGAAAGTCTGTCTTGGTGTTGTATCATTTTCAAGTCTTCTGGTATTCTAGGGTAAGCTGGGTCACCATGACGGCAGTGATGGAGATCCCGGTAGTGGACATGTCCCCGTACGGCCTGGACGTGGTCAGTGAGGACAAAGTGGACAAACAGACAATTCGATCGTTAGCCGACGCGATATGTAGGGCCTTACGGGATATCGGTTTCTGTTACATCAAAAACCATGGCATGCCACAACCTATGGTATTGTTGTATTATTAAAGAGTCTTTTTTCATCATGGACAAGATATCCGAGATTGACATGTTTAATTCAGTTATTGATATTAAATGCTTTTGTAGTAAAATTTATAAAACACACGCAAAATTGCTTCTTTTCCTGTGTGTATTGTTTTTCTGTCACTCTGAAGAAATGACATTTTCCGTGTATTTGGAAAGTGGTATCAAAATAAATGCTTTTGATCAGCAACGTGTAAAACAATATATTCTATACGTTCTTGTTTTCATCTTTATCCTACATTCTGTCGTTACTCTCAGATCGATCGAATGAAAGCAGTGTCCAAGACGTTTTTCGAAAAACCAACTGAATATAAGAAATCCTATGCACGACCAGCTACATCGAATCATGGATGGGTAGCCCTGGAAAGAGAAAGGTATATAGAACTATGAAAAATGTATTTACTTGCTAGGCTGCGAAATCGGTTTCCTGACGTCTGTCTGTTTTTGCGTTAAAATTCTATTTTTTTTCTTTTTAATAATATATACGTTTGTCAGGGTGCTGAATTTTTACTTTGTAATAGACTTTAAGAAATTATATGATGGATATATAGACCATCAAGAGGACACGACATCATGTACATATCAACCTTTCCGTAACCTCTCCGCAAATTGCCATACTATGCATGACCACTCAAATCTATCATTAAGCAGGTTATTTTATTCAGAGACAAAGCTGAGGTGCGTGTGTTAGCATATCACGTAAAATCAATTTATGTGCCAGAATAATGTTGAACTGAACAGCACCTGTCTATGATAGAAACGTGCGCTTGTTATTTAGTATTCCGAATTAAATCAGTCTGGATTCGACTCCAGACAGATATGAAGAAAGTCGACTGAACGTCAGAATAATTCGGACTAGTTATTAGGATAAACCCATAACCTCAGAAAAGCTGTTGGTTGTGGTGTTGAAAATGAAGTGAACAGATTTATACCCGAATTGAATACATCTATCTCTCTCTCAACTGAATAAATTTGAATGAATATCTTTTGTATTCCGATGTATTTAAACTTCTGGTTATTTAATTGTCATCAAGATGTAAACATTTCTATACTACTTACCTATTTTGTTTGTTTATCTAGTTTTGTTTCTGTTTTTGTGTTTGTGTAATTTTTATTTATTTTTTTATTTTCCAACACTCTTGATTATGATCGTGGTATTTGTCACCGGATGTACCCATAATGATAATCACTTATAAACGGTAAAAATTATAAATATCGGGCTCTATATAGGCTTTAACCTTCAGTACGACAGTATTAATGTTAATATAAAGTCTACTTTCTTTTCCTTAGTTATAACTCTTCATGCTCCTTATGGTGATGAATCTTTTGCGGAAATTCCATCCCTGTTATCTGGATTCTTGATAAGTTCTTTAACAAAACTTTTACCGTACAATATATTACTACAAAACCGCAATGTTACTAACCTAATTTAAACAACTTTAAACATTTGATCTTCATATTCATTTGAATAACAATTTAGGAACATTCATTGTAATTTATCTAAGTTAAAATCATAAGATATATCAATTTTATTATTTTAATTTTTAAAATCACACCAATACATCATTCTTGTTTGTTAAATTTCTAATTCTTGTGCTTATTCCTCATTTTGTTTTGTGACAAAAGAAATACGAAAGATCAATTCTTTTAATGATGTTCAACAACATATAAATATTTACAAATATATTTCATTCGCATAGTTTGAATCCAGAAAGACCAGGAGACTACAAAGAGGCGTTTAATTTCAACCCTTGCGAGGAAACCAAGGTAAGACAAAGAACGTTACCTGTCGACAATGCAAAGCAAAATATAGTGATCGGGTGGCGCAGTAGTACTGCACTTCACCAAGACGTTCGGAGTTCGATTTCTAAAACGTACATGAGAAGGTATGGGGTCACTTGCACAACCACGTGGGGTTTCCCCAGGTACTCCAGTTTCCTCCTCAGGAAGACCCCTCGCGCGCTTACATCCGGTCCAACAAGAGTGATTGGCACTAGCTGGATAATTTATTTCGCAATTGTAAAATAAATAAATCTTAAACATAAAAAGGCAGAATATAAGAAACATTGATTGATTTATATGGATGTGTCTCCGTCTGCGTTACTTTCACTTCTCGCCCGCGTTGAATGTTGTTTTTCCCATATCGGGTCTGTAACATAATATTGTCATCTCCCTTTCAGAATTGGCCAGACGTCGATGACTTCGAGGCAACAATTAAAGATTTTTATGCATCTGGTCAGGCATTGTCTCTGAGAATATTTGACTTGGTATCATTAGGACTTGACTTAGGAGTAAGTAAAACAGTTTGATTAATCTTAATTCTCAGAATGTTATACGTGTTGGTAGTTGATATGTACTGCAACTATTTTGGAGGTAGTTATATTGGTGTTGTACAATGTATTTTTGAGAACGATGTGCATTTTTCGAGAAATCTGGAAATTCTCGGAAACATGAGATTATGTAAAACTGAGAGATTTAACACCTCACAATCAGAAGACGGATCTTAAGTCCCCTAAAAGTTAAAAAAATCACTTTGCGTGACTCCCTTCACGATTTTTATGACAGCGAAAATGTGTACAGCAGAGATGTGTTAGAATATAAGATTATGTTGGAGATTTAAACCTCTCTGATAGATAAAACTTCAAACTTATAACCTGGTCACGCAGGACACACAATATCCCATTTCAATACAAATTTAGTAATAAACAAGTATTTAATGAATTCAGCTGTATTTTACAACTGTTTCCATTACTTTCATATTAATGAAAAGAATGGGTCTTGGCGAGTTGAAAAGAACATTTCATTTACATTTCATTGACGGGACGACAATAATGTAACAACTTGGAAAAGGAAAGTTGAGGAAAACGACCGTGAAATTTAATATAACCTAATAGATGTATATATACCATAGTTACTATTTATTTAGCAAGAAGATCAAACCTTCGAACCATGTATCTGTTTATTGTTCTAACACTTTGTTTTGGAATAACTTTTCAGGACAACAAATTCATGAGGAATTGTCACGCCTTGATTGGTCAGAAAGGAAACTGCACGGCAGTTCGAAGTTTATATTATCCGGCTCTACCACCAGATAAAGGTAAACCTATTTATAGTATCCCTCCTCAGAACCTGATAAGGATAAAACATTACATACTTACCCCTCCCCACATCTTCCCACCACCAGAAAGATCAATATCACTGTCACCAGCAAATATTGGTAACTAATTTATTTACCATCGCAAGTGATTTTGAGAAAATGCGTTACGATGTTGTCAGTGAGAGGGGCTGGTGGTGGGGTTGGGGGGCCTAACATGTGTAAACGTATAAGTTTACAAATCAAATATCCTTAAACAAAAGTCAAGATATAAAAAGGACTAAGTTCTGGTCCGTAATTCAACCAATTTAAAAAGTTTTAGATCTGTCTCCTATCATCAACTACTGTGTCCTTGTTGAAAATGTCCCTGTGTCGTTATTACTCTTGTGTGGAATACACCTGCCATGTATATAGTTTGACTTTTCCGACAGTAACGGAAAACAGCACTTGAACCACATTTATATATACTTAAACATTAGATTTTAGATATCAATAAATGTTAAATAAATGATTGTTTGTTGAAATGAATAAATTCATTCACGAAAATTCATAAAATTGCTCAATAAGTTGAAATTTTGAACTTTATTTCCGCGCGGAGCAATTATTTCGGCCTACGTCACCTGGTCTTATATACAGACGTAACAAACAACGTTGCCGGATACATAGACTTGCCACTTCTGTCTTTCTGCGCCCTTGCCAAAATACAGCTTATACATATTAAGACACTTTAATTTGTAGACATCAAACCGAACCAGGTACGGTGTGGAGAACACTCGGACTACGGCTCCCTCACACTGCTGTTTCAGGACGACGTGGGGGGTCTAGAGGTATGCTCACCCAATCACATATTGATTCAAGAATGCGTCATAGATTACGATAAGAACTTTAAAAACTGAATGCTATTTGTAACTCTAGTTTTGTAGACACTTTCATCGTTGATATTGTCCTTTATTAACATAACGATTTTCTCTGCTCTGTTAAAGAATTGAGATGATAAAAGATGCAGTGATTGATACTTTATGGAATCAGGCTGCTATACCATTACTGGGTTGTTATAGTATTGGCAGACATCGTTGACTGTGTCGATCGAAAGTCACTGGAATGAAATTTGTGCACGGTTTCATACCCATTGTAGTTGTCAATTAAGAAAAAAAATATTTGTTTTTTTTAATTGTTCTTTTTCACCTATTTTTTTAGATGTTCATATATCTGACAATTTTAAACAAAGTCAAGTACATGTTTATATTCTGAACTGTGCAATTTATTGGAGGAAACGTGTTATGCAAGTTACGGCAAACCTCGGTGACCAACATTTCCAATCATCTTTTGTACCCAACGTCAGCCCTATCCAAACTGTCATGTCATCCCTTCATCATGACTTAATAGCCGCCACAATTCACCACTCTTTTATCAATAAGTTCTCGTTGTCATGGAGACCACGTTTTTACAATCATCCCTTAAGTTAATCAGATTCTTCAACCTTTGTCCATTGAAACAATAATTAATGTTCGATAGGGAAGTAATTCTGCAGGACATAAACTTAAATCATACCGTGTTTCCATTTCCTTTACAAAATGTTCTTGCAAGGATCTGATTTCTTCAAAATCATTCACAGTATATTGTCGAACAATCATTTTTTACTAAATAGGTACGTAATATGCATGGGGAGTATATTCCAGCCTCACCAATCCCTGGTACTGTACTGATCAACATTGGTGATCTGATGCAGAGATGGACAGCCGATTATCTCACTGCTACAGTAAGATGTATAGTAAATCAAAACTATTTCACAAAAGCCACAGCGATAGAGATGTGTATCTATGTGTTATCAAAGACGTCATGATACATTGAGTATGAGATAGTCATTGTACATACTCACAGAAGCAGAAATAAATTAGTATATATACATGTACTGTGCATGGAAAATACTATTAAGCTTGTTATTTTCAAAGGGTTTGTTTTTTCAAGGATGAAATAAAATCGCTAAAAATAGATATATTGAAAATAAGACTACTGTAAAATTGTGTTTTTTCGTAGGGCAAACTTTTGGTGGTTTTTTCAAAAATCACTTTTTCAAAGAAATTGATTTTGAGGATGATGGAAAAACAATATATGATTAAATAAATCTTACATTGATTTTTACAGTTGGCGGACATATGAATTTCTAGTTTACGAGTACACGTGGAATTAAAGAAAATAAATCCAACACGGAAATTAATGATTTTACAGAAAAAGAGGGAAAATATATTCTCGTTTTCTTTAACCGCAGAAATTTGAAACGACGAAAAAGTACACTCGGATGACTTTTTCATGAACTAAGGATTAATAGATTTCCTGTATATTTACAATTTTGATATGGAATGTTTCAGAAACACCGAGTGTTGATTCCAGAAGAAGAACTGAGACGGAGAAACAGTCGTCAGTCTATAGCATTTTTTATCCATCCTGATGATGAAGTAATGATAGAATGTCTGGACAAATCAAATAAATATCAACCAATCACAAGCTATGATTATCTCCAGGAACGATTCGCAGCCACATACTGACCAATCATATAGGCAACGATTCTCTAGGACCAGGGACTGATTCCAGGGCTGCCCAAAACAATTATTCTAACGTTCTGTCTACATTTCATATCGGTCTGGAGTCGATGGACGTTAGAATTAATTCAAAGGAAAATTGCGAAAAAAAGAAATCAGTCTTTTTACATACATTTCACACACCGATCGCATCTCCCTCCTCATAGAGCCGGGGTTTTGTTGTTCATCGAGCGCAGGTCGATAATTAAAAAGTGGGAAAACATCACAATTCAAACTAGTTCAAAACTTGCAGCCCACAGGATATATGATTTATTGCGAAAGAAAATATTTTTGCTGTGAACAAAGTATATACACTGTACCATACCACTGCAGCAAAGCAACGAAGGTTCATTTCGACGAAATCATTGGAAACAACTTGTCTTATGGAAAATATAATGTGACGTTGATGGCATGGAAAATATAATGTGACGTTGATGGCATTCCAAGAAGTTCCATTTCAATTGATAATACATTTTATCACAAAATGACAGCAAATGACATGTGTTTTTCCAACATGCTAGAGATCAGCAACTGGTATATTTTAGGTACTGTCAAAAGGGTTTGACATGTAGGAGAATCTAGGTATCTCCACAAATACAAGCTACGGCTATCAGACAGCTGACGATTCAAACTGACGACTAGTGATGATGAAGTTAGTAAAAATCGCATAATCAACGATGTAATTGATTTTTCTTTTACCCACTCATCATTTATGCATTTATACGTTAACGCCATATTTCAGGGCATTTTCTAGAAAAATTATGCTAAGAAATTTGAAGAAAATGGTCTCGATGATTGTAAAGGTTCAATGTCTAAACATTCCACCAGACATAAATGGAAAACATATCGAACAATTTTGGTAACCTCTTCTATCAATGAATAGTGTTAATTCTATCATATCCGGGTCTTCAGATGATGTTCGAGATTAAAGTTATTTAGATCCTGCTTCTCAGGCCTCTAAGCACAAGGATAATTTAATTCGCAATCGTGGTTAAGCTTGTGAACAGGGGCATTGTCCTGGTGGAACAAAACAGTTTTTCCGCGATTGTTTTCTCTTGACTTTCTAAGAAGTGATGTATGATATGTGCCATTGCTATTTTGCCCCTTTTGAAGACAATTTACCATCAAAATACCATTAGCATCCCATAAAACTGAGGCCATAAACTTTCAAGCTGATGGAACAGTGTTTGACTTCTTTGGCGGGGATGAACCAGGGTGCTGCCATTGTTTTGATTTGTGTTTGACCTTTGGGGTGAAATATGTTCCATCTCTGCAGGAAGTTAGCGGGATCACCTCAAAAGGGTTCAGATTAGCACACGACAAAGTCTGTCTGGTGGGCTTCTGAACAAATGTCAGAAGTCTTGATACACACCGGGCTGATAGCTTTATCGTTGCAAGATCTTCTGTAAGAATGGAATGTACTCTTTCCTGTGAAATCCCAACTAAACTGGCTATGTTCACACATATATATATATCTGTAACTCGCCTGTCAACTGTAAGAATACTGTAAGATGTGGATTACAGAGTTTTACAGGATTAGCACACAGTGATTTTAATTTATCAGATAGAAACAGTAATTGATGTATTTATGTGTTCAGAAAACGGGAAGATACTGTAATTACGACGAATACTGATATAAAGGTTTGTTTTCCTTGTCGATGTAGACCAAATACACTCCATACATCCTCGAACATGAAATAAAACATTGTCCACTCCATGTGAAAATATTTCAATGCCTCAATACCACCCCCCCCCCCACACACACACACACACCCACCCACCCACCCTTCCCCTACCTTTTCGAGAATTACCGATCAAATAAGATACAGATTGAACTAAGATGCTCAACATTGTGGATATACAGTGTTCATTGTGATAGTTACATATATACCAGATGAGCATAAATACTAGTAGACAATAAAGGTTCTTAGTTCCGATTAACGTCCGATTCTGATTGGTATTGTGTTTGTACCTTCTGCTTCTGTGATGAGACGTCCAACACAGAAAATCGCAATTGGTCCAGAACATAGGTACCTATCATACATGGTGCTCCGTCACTGCCATCTTGATATGTCCCCTCTGTACAATGTTGATGATTTATTCTGCCTTCATTGGTGTTCGCATCAGCGACATGTTGCTCTCAAAGATTGTACAAACTACAACTAGTCTTCAGGTAAATAATACCAAACTTGTTTGTAATGTCCGTCGCCCGTCTAAATCTGTTTTAGTCCATATGAAAGTCTAATACTCTAAAAGGGCTAAAGAGATTTCGACAACACTTAATGCGAGTCATCATTGATTGAAGTTATGATTTATAGTACATATAAAGAAGGATATGGTTTCCCCTGATAGCAAAGTAGATTGTAGAAAGTAGACAAAATCTTTGGGAGCTGTTCCAAGGTCGAAACACACCAAAGTCTTCAAAATGTTAGTTATCACTACTGCATAACTCAACATTTGGTTTGGCTGATGGCAGTATAAATGTTACCGGGTGGGATTTCTTGCTGGGTTCATTCGGCATTATACACAAATGCGGTTACAATAGAAATTTGGCATCAGTTCGAGGAGGCTTGTGCGAACATTTCGCAACTTACCGAAAACACACCCACTCGACACGCATATATAGGGAATCAAATATTACTATAGCTGTTAATGGGACTTTAACTTAAAGAAACCATTATATCATTTCATTTTTGAAGTAGGGACGTTCTACGTTCAATCGTTTGTAGACGTGTACTACACCTGGGCGTCTTAGATTTTAACCCTTTAAAGTGACACCATAGTTATCAGCAAATCTACATTCATTTCAAATGTTCATGTTAAAATCTACAATGTAAAACAGAAACGTGTATTTATACGATTACTGCACTGATGCAACGTGACCGCACATAGGTGATAGAGTCGTTGATCACGTTTACTTGCTTTTACCCATTTACAAACATTTGTTTTGAAAGTCAGTAGCTGCTATTGAAATTTCGATTGGGTATGACGTAGGAAAGATTCAACACAGGTATATAAAAAAACTCCTTGCTTTGGACAATACGTATCTTCTAACAAATATATTCTTACACTTTAGTTACATAAATTTTAAGTTGTGTCTGCAGTCATGGCAACCGAGATTCCGATTATGGACATGTCTCTGTACGGTCTGGATGTGGTCAGTGAGAAGGAGGTCGATACAGTGACCATCCGTTCTCTGGCCGAATCTCTGTGTGGAGCTCTTAGGGATGTCGGCTTCTGTTACATTAAAAACCACGGCTTCAAACAGTCTCTGGTAAGTTTTGATAATATCGATCTTCTTTGTAAAGAATTATAAGATTATAGAAAGTAGTTAGATGGATAATCAGATTTTTGCTGAAAATAACGATTTTTAATGGAGATATACAAATAATTATTGTTTTAAGTTCATATCATTATCGTTCTTCAAATGTTTTCAGATCGATCGAATTATGAGTGTAAATAGGACATTCTTTGAAATGCCAGTTGAGTACAAGTCTACATATTTGAGACAAGAAAGCGGAGTCACTTATGGATGGGTACCTCGAGAGACAGAAAGGTATTAGTACTGTTATATCTGGGGTTTTTTTTACAGCAAATACCAAATAAATACACATTGCAAACTTGCAGTATTTCATAAAGAAATTGGATAAGGATGATTCAACAGTGACGGAAACCTTTCTCATTTTGGAAGATATACTGATAAATGATGTATTGAAAATGATAATAAAGATGAACTTTTGCTATGTTAGAGTCGTTATGCGGCATTATATTTACAAAAAATATAAAGCAGCGAAAAAGTAATGTTTTGACTATAATATGTAATGACAACGTTTAAAACATGCAGGCTCTGATTTCCTGAATTTGACTTTTATTTGTTACCGAGATTCAAAATGTTAATACACATTTCTCAACATCATGAAGTCCAGGAAAGTAGACAATTGAATTAGTGTACAAGTGTATATATTCTACGTTTGAAACAATATCATAAAGGAAACTATTCTGATAGGTACCAGCACCAATATTTATTTTTCACCTGTGGTTAGTGATACTCTCTACTGAAATACTAGTACTATATTCCCTTTCGTGTTTCAAAAGAAATATGGATTTTTATGTTTCTATTGCAGTTATGCTTTAATGTCGGTTTTTTTTGTTTTGTTTTTGTTTTTAAAAAACATCTTATCAGTGAAACGTTAGCTTGAAAACATACATGGTTTATAAATGTGGCAATTTTTATTCCGTATATAGCCTGAACTTAACTAATCTTTCTGACTACAAGGAGGCTTTTAACTATCCGCCGACGGAAGGGATTGTGGTAAGAATAATTGTACTTTTAATTTTCTTAGATTTTGTAAATCTGAGAAATACGACAAAGAAGAGAAGTTGGCATATTCACTTGTTTAATCCCGATCGATCAGGTTCTAGAACACAAATACCTTACTTAAGCTTTATCTGTTTAAATTCTTACACATATTGGAATTTTTTTCAATAACAATACATAGACACTAAATCAGTTTTGTGTAACATTTCTGAACAGCATTATGATTTAATACATGTACATTACAGCAGTAAAATAAATAAATTATCGATACGTCAACAAAATTGAATTTGGAAACCAAAATCAATGAAATAAGGTAAACTACGAACAAAAGTAAACTTCGTCGATTCATCAACGTTACCAACAACATAAATCATGATCAATCCAAATAATAAATATCACATTTTAAATGAGAATAGTGTAACTAAGGATAAAACCAGTATCCATGCTAACGAGGAAACATTTTCCAGTGAAATCGTGTTGACGAACATAACACATTCAATTTTATGGTCGTCATAGTTATCTTATTGAGAAATATTCTATTTCTGTGGGCGATATGAAGCTGGAAATGTTCTTTTGAGTTCGGATTATGATGAAGTTATTTTTGTATTTTGCTTTCATAGATACTTCAGAGTAGTCTATATTAGTCATATATCATCTGCATCAATATTCAGATATATCATTCCTTTTTTCCAGTTGATCCCAGACCTTAAAGACTACAAGGAAACGATGGACGAATTCCGAACATCCTGTATTAGACTTGTCAATAGAATCCTTGACTTGATGTCGGTAGGACTGGAATTAGAGGTTGGCCCTTCTATATCATAAGGATGTGTACCTGTAACTAATTACTTATTAATATTGTTGTTGATTCATTTCCTCTATTATCTACTATATTTTTCATTACTTGCCCGCATCGTCTATTCATATCAATAATTCATTATTAACATTTGCGATACTCAGTTTTTTCCTTCCTAATATGGTAGGATTGTGTAACGAATTGTTCATATATTTGCTGGTTTGATGTAATCTTTCTATTTTTAGGACAGACATTTTTTACGAAAGTGTCATCAAGCCATTGGTGAAAAAGACAACAAATCATCATTAAGAGCGTTGTATTATCCAGAAATACCAACAAATAAAGGTATCAGAACTTGTATATCGTGGTAACATATTAACAAATACAATAAACACACCACAAATTTTTGTTATTGGTTATTAATATACGAAAACAAATAAGGTTGAACAAACGGTATGATAGACGAATCCCTGCATTTTCAATACTATAAGCGTGGAAATTTACGCATTGCGGAAGTTTACTTTCATACATATTTCATACAAGTCATTCCACCGTGTGAATTTCACCCACGAGTATGAATTTGTGTCGTGCCAGATATACACTTATATAAACAATAGATATGTAAAGGAGAACTGATCGCAGAAGTAACCACCGCACGTACAGTTTGGCGATTCAAATCGCGAAAATAACCCCTAGCGAAATTATCCACATTTACAGTATTACTTCATGCTTTCCAACCTAGAAATTCATGTGAATAGTGTCGAGGTTTTATGATATACATATTTTTCATTCAGTAAAGAGGTCGTGGTTTTAACTCAGCTCCCTATTAATACCTCGGGAATGATTGTCCTGTTTGAATTTGCATAGCTCGTCATCGAAACTTAATGTCATTTGCTTCTGTGTTCTTTATACATTTTTTCATACACACATTGACGTTTAGATATTGAATTTCATCTTAGCTTTTCAAAACCAACTTGTCAATACCAGAACATATTTTGAAATTACAAGAACAATCCGATTATTACTGCAATTTTTTGGACAATGATAAGATGTAATATCTATTGTCCCAAGGAAAAGTTCGTGCCGTACATTTAACTTTCATCTTAAAAACTGAAGGACTAATTGTGATAAATACTAATACATCTTAACTTGTGTTTTAACTCGGGACACTTCTTGACAGGCATAATACTCGTCAAAACATCAAAACAAATTGGTGTTCCGTAACATAGCCTCAATTTGACGATTTTGTAATTTTACGCTACTTTTTATTTATTTATTTATTTATTTAGAGTCGTGAAACAAATTTTTAAATGCACTAGGTATTATTATTAAATTTTCATTTGGGATTTGTAGACATCAAACCGAACCAGGTACGGTGTGGAGAACACACAGACTACGGTTCCCTGACAATGCTGTTTCAGGACGACGTCGGGGGTCTTGAGGTAAGCTTTGTTAATTCAATTAGTGTAAGTTGTCATTATTATTTAAATTAAGATATAAACATCATTTGAGATCTGCTTACTATGTGAGAGAATAACGAAACAAATTGTGGAACATACTAAGGCTGGGAACAATCAACTTCTATCATTTTTGTCTTTAACAATTTGAAATATGACGTTGTATTAAAAAAATTAAATTGAAGGTATGTAATCAACAAGGGAAATATGTACCAGCTTCTCCGATTCCTGGCACCATATTAATCAACATTGGGGACATGATGCAGAGATGGACTTCTGATACACTTATCGCTACGGTAAGATACATATGGCGTGGCTGCCCATCTGCTTCTGATCATTATATTATAATTATATTATCAAATTGGTGCTATAAAACAAACAAAAATATGAATGCATTTACAAATATTAATTTTTTTAAGAAAACGGGCAAGTTCTCTTTAATATGTTATTTGTATACACATCGTATTCAAATATATACTTCAACTTCGTATTATTACAAATACATTCTATTGCTTTTAGAAGCACCGTATTTTGATGCCCAACGATGAAATGAAGAAAAGAAGAAGTCGGCAGTCGTTCGCGTTCTTTGTCCAACCAGATGATGATGTCATGATTAAGTGCCTTGATAACTCCAATAAATATGAGCCCATCTCCAGTTTACAGTATTTACAGGAGAGACTGGCACCAACATATTGAATTTTTATCATTCTTACTTAAACAGAGCATCCTACATATACATTTATGTATATTAAGTGGTTATGGTTGTTTATTTCTGGAGTAATACAGTTTTACAGGCATATGAAAACTACTCTTTGATTTCATGAAAATACTACTATGGTGATTATTTTTGCATAATATTATTGTTGAAATCTTTTATTTTAAACCATTTGCTGCCTACGAAGGAGGTTTATTTCCTTTTAATTATTTTTTTTACCAGAAGGTATACATATACACAGAGTACATAGATGTAGCAATAATATATATACATATACACAGAGTACATAGATATAGCAATAATACATAGGTTCCTTTGTTGTTAATCTTGTATTCATTTGGGAACATGACTTAACTTGTATCGACCAGAAGACGCTAACTTTTCCTGAACACCTGGTCTTCTAATGGTCTCTGTATGAATCCATTATTTGTTCGTGTTTTGCCCTGATTTAATTTGATTTTTGTATTAAGGTCCGGTTATAAGACGTTCAGTGTCATACTGAATATCATTACGTTTCTAATATATATATAATCAAGGTTTCCACTTGACAATTGATTTCGACGAGTCAATTCATCCGTCACTCCAAATTCTGAGAGAAAAAAAGAAATAACATATAATAGTATCAATCACAACTGATTTCTGGGGGACAAAAATATATTTTCTAGCATGAAATGAGAAGCCTAATCATAACCGTTTTCCATATATCATCGGTTAGGAAATAAAATGTATTTGTTTTAGTACTACGGTTTAATGAGATTTTTTGTATACCCGTATCATAAACATTATCACATCAATAATTATTTAGTACATGCATCGCTGTACATGTGCACAAAGTTTCCTATACCGGGCAGTCGATAACATTTATCAAATGTGTCTATCATTTTTTCCATCAGTTGTTAATTCCTAATAGAAAATTGCGTTTATTATTCATCGCTTTCGAAAACAAACGAAGCCATATTTACAAACGGTAACATATTGTGACACCATAGCGATCTGGACCCAATCTCGGATCTATTCAACATGGTAGCGTGTAGGCTGTCACAATATATGTAGGGCTAAACCCGATAATAGATAATTAACGATTAAAGTCTTCATCAGGATTTTATGTTCATTCCATCTGCATTCAGGACTAAGTGATGTTCCTCTCCGTAATTTCCAAGTACTCCAGTTCAATTGATATATTTCTTGATAATCTGTTATCCCTTTTAATTCAAACTGATCATGACATTACTTGGACCTGGACTTGACCTTTTGTTGTCATCCAATTCAGTATAACCAGATAATTAAGTAATTACTTTAACTTATGAAGAATGTCCCAATAGCATCAGACTATCCTATGGTTCTTTGAACAAGTCATGTTTCTAGATATGTAGCTCAGTTTTACAGAAAACCAGAAGATTGTGATGAAGTTCAATATTTAATTAGGCATTAATAATTCTATCATCTATCAGACTCACACAATCTTTCACACTTAATAGTTAATGTCTGCAACTCCATATTTTCAAATAAGACACATTATTTTTACTATTATATTAGCTTTCCTGGCATAAAATTAACATATTAATCAGAATGCATAAAGCTTACATTAGAATAGACAAAATCTTAACATATGCAAGTTAGGAAAATAAACATCCATTCTTGGTCTGGTCTTTACACACTTCCAAAACATTTATATCCTTAGATAAAATAAGGAGAACTAACATTCATATATTCCAGACTTTTTATTCCTTCTCACAAAAAAAAATAGACTTATTCTTACTAACAAAAATGCACTTTCAGTACAAACGCGTATTTACTAAGTTAAATTCAAATATTCTATCATCATACTTAATTCTCAATATATCTTTCTCACTAGTACATAATAGATCAATATACCCCTGTAAAGCACTTGATCAGGTAACCACAGACCGGGAATTAGAATTACCCAGTGATGAAAATGTCACTCGTCACTATAAGAACGAATAACCTGACTACGGTCCTAGTACGTTTACCATAACTATCATAACTATTATTGTAAAATATTAAATAATTAGAAAAACTTCTCAAAAGATCCTAAATAATAAATTCCTATCAGTAATACCCCCCCCCCCACCCCCCACCCCCCCCCCCCCCCCCCCCCCCCCATCTCTCTTTTTTTGTTGTATACCACTTTGTTGTTTAAATAAATAACACCTTTCAATAAAAATATAGTAAAATTAATCTGTCTTTGATTTTGTTTGTCTTGTTGTTATTCTGTTTGATATGGCTTAAATGGTCAAGTTTACATTCAATGGTAAATTGTACGTAATATAAACAATTTCGTAACCACGCTTCTTTCGGGGCGGTTGATCTGTTGACTGATTAACGTCAAACAATCAGTGCTTAAGAATTTTGATAAGCTAGAAAGCTAGTGTTTTTGTTCATGTCAGGCTTTTAGTCTTACAGTTATTATAAGCTGAATAGTGTGTTCCGGCGAAGATCTTTTGAAATTATTCAGATAACAGTTTATGCACATTCACTTAAACATGCTGTCATGTCAATTCTTTATTATAAGTACTTCCGGATGTGAATGTCATATAAGGTCACCCATATAAACTTTAGTTGACATATTTCTTAATTACATTTTTAGTAAACCTGAACAACCAAATATTGAATGAAAGTGATATAATCTTTCATGAATGTGATCGGATAATGATTACTATTCCTTTATCATACACGAATATTTGTTATTATATTCCCTTTGTACATAGCTGCTTATAAATAGGAAAATCCACGTTTCGAAAAAAAATATATCAATCTCAATGTCAAAGTCATCGTTTGCTTTCATACGTTGTGATTTTTATGCAACATTGTACATGTAGTAAAAAGCACGTGGTACATTCGCAATATGTTGTATGAAATAAATTAGAAGTCTGTTTCATAATACAACATGGACATGAATGTTTATGATTGAATAAAAAGAAAAATGTCCTTGATCAATGCCTGATTTCACTGCCAGATGACTGTATGACTAACTTAAATTGAACTAATCAACGATGATTGATGCAGTCCGGCGACAGGTTTAAGACATGATATATTTTGAATTACAAACCACATTAGAGGAACTATTTATCTGTCGATTCAGATCACTCCTAATGAGACACCATGAAGGACTTGTTGACAATCACAGGTTTCTCGAGTCGTTTCGCTGATGGAATTGGTAACCTTGATTTTAGGTGGACGTTTTGAAAGATTAGGCTAGCACCTATGCCAGAGACCATGTAGATGTATTGATAAAAGTATTTTACAAATCAAAAGTTTTTAAAAAAGTTGCTTTGGGACTGTTGCTTTGCTGCGCACTCGTGAAAGATACTAAAATACAAGACATATATATTTGTTATTATTGAAGACATTATTAAATATCCTCTATATATTTTGTTTATAGTCGTGCATAGAAACAGCAATTGGTTGGCAATACCAGTATCACCAGACAATTAATAAAGGTAGCCTATGTTATTTGTTGATATTAATGCGACATGTTAAAAGAACTTTTGTTTTATTCATTACTTTAATAAAGTTCTCCATCTTTAAAAATCAACATTTTTTCTAGAAGACGTGTTTTGCAATACATTGACCGGGAAAAAAGATATTGTCATAAGAAGCAAGTGATGAAACAGTTTTAAATTTGTCATCTTGACCCATAATGACATGACTGATATTGTAGATCATACACTGCTAGGATGTAGAGGACCAAAATGCAGTATGCATATGCATAGTCTCTATAAATAGCGTTTGGTCTCAAACGGAGTTGTCTTACCTGTTAGGTGGCACTAGCTGTTAATTGCGTAGACACGTAAACAGGTAAAGCATATTTGTTGTTTGCGATTTGTATTGAGGTATTTGTTAGAAAGATATATAATCTTATTTAATTCTTTATCGTTTATTTGAAAACAATCCGGTTTGTATCAGTTATCATGACAACGATGACAGAAATCCCGGTGGTGGACATGTCTCTGTACAGAATGGACACTGTCAGAGAAGAAGAGGTGGACACTGAGGCTATTCAGTCTGTCGGAAACGCCATATGTTGGGCCTTCAGGAATCTTGGCTTCTGTTATATTAAAAATCATGGCATGCAACAATCATTGGTATGTATAATTATAGGTTTTTGGTTTTCAATGAAAACTTGTAAATTGCAAGAGTCTGATGGGCAAGGCAATTATTTCCACAAAAATGTGTTTTTATATCAAAATAGTTCATGTATGACATATGTTTAAAAGAGTGTAAAATTTATTGATATCACATGTTTGTATTCACTTAATGAAAGTGAATATCTTTATTACGTTATTAACTAAGAATTACAGTTCATTATTTATGTGAGCTTATGTCCTAACAATGAGTGCTTTCATCAATGTAAAATCTTGTTTACGTGGGACTCATTTTTTTAATATGCAGTTTCGCTGGCATTTGATTTCGACGATAAATCTTTATCACAGTTTTCCATAGTATTAGAATCAAAGTCAACATTCATCATTTTATCATATCGTAGACAGTAAATTCGGGGATTGAGAGTACCCACGAAATCAACGAAAATAAATTCCTCATTAAAATTAACAATGTTAAAGTATTTGCACATTTGGAGACCATTAGATATTCTCTTAATACTCCGGGTTTTTAATTATCATGGTATGTCTTGAAAAAAGTCAGATAAATTTCTGAGTATTGATGAAAACTTTTGAGCCTTTTGTCCACCAGTAAAGATGTTAAGCTTCGCGTCTTATTTTCCAGATCCACAAAATGTTTGCCATGAGTAAAACTTTCTTTGAAATGCCAATTGAGTACAAAAACAATTACCGACGTCAGCCCTTTACCAATTCACTTGCTGGATGGATTCCTCGATATACTGAAAGGTAGCTAATTATCACGCAAGCAAGTCTTAAATTTAGGGTTATCCGAACTTTTGCGTTCTTATACATGCTTTTAAGGTGACTGTGCCATCACAGCCACTCTTTGTTGATTAAACACGTTTGCATGATATCCTACTCGGTCACATTATACTGACTACAATAACACCTCAGTGCTCACTGACCTCTTGGGGCTGAACCCAATAATCAGCTTTGCTTGGATAAAAATTCAGCGCTTGAGAAACGACATACCTTGCTATGGCAAATAATGAAAACCAATAACCAAGATGAACACGTTGGAAACTATTAACCTTCCTTTCTAGGATGGAAAGGTTTGGTGAAAATTTAGCCTTCTTCGCTTTGGCAGAACATGAACATTTGGTAAATCCATAGCCGTCCTCGGTTGGGTGGTGCCTTAACCTGTAGGAAAACCATATCCTTCCTCGCGTGGGTGGGACCTGAACATGTGGGACACTCATATCCTTCTTTGCTTAGGTGGGGCCTTAACACAAGGAAAAACCTATAGCCAAGTGCTAATTGCAAAGTGAAACTATAGGGAGAAATACAAAAATAAGGGGGAAAGAGAGGGGGAAAAGTTTAGTCTGAAAATGACAGCAGCGATACTTCTTATGCGCTGATTCCATGTCTGTATGATAAAGCATCATGGTATATATGGTTCTGCTGATTACAATGCTTATAGATGCATCCTGTTGGTGTACTTTCCTTTAGATGATAGTTCTTCGTTAACATTGAATCATTTATTGAGTTAACGATATGATATAACGTTGATATGGTGCGTAATTAGTGGTATGGTCAAATTAATATAGTTTTAATTTGACTACAAATGCTCGCAGTCAAATAGACAGTACAATTTACAGTACAAATAATCGTTGTCTGCACTATAAATGCTGACATACAGACTTCGAATGTTCATGGGTTACCGTGATGGCCATGAATGATCGTTTATATCTTCGTTTCAGCCACCGCACAAGATGTTTTACGTTATCCTGCACCTACTGTCAAATTTGTGAAAACTTTGTGCAAAATAATAAGTTTGTGGTATGCAACCCTTTAGATATAATCCTGTATGGTATAGAGTTTAGCCCTGTCCACATCATATATTTCTGTATTATTTAATCACATGATATACAGCACGTAATCCAAACTCTGGTTGTGTTATACAGTTTGAATCCAGAACGGCCTGGAGACTACAAAGAGGCTTTCAACTACACACCTGTTGATGGCACTGAGGTAAGAATCACCGTGTGCATATTTAAATGTGATGTCAAAGTCAAATGACCGACTCATGATATAAAGTAAATACAAATTAAAACTATATGTAACAATTGTGAAGTAGTCACGCCGGGGATTTTATTATATTTTATGTAGACATCCAACAACATTCATCGTGTAAATACAGCCCTGCTTGTATCTAATTTTTCAAAATCTAGGATCGGATCATCAGAAGATGTTTACTTGTATATTGATTAAGACAAAAGGTCTGGTCCTTCAGGAGTGGCTCGATTTAAAGAATTATGACTTAAATTACAGGAAATATACTAGTAAACGCGTTGTGCAATATTTAAAAATGTCCATGCCTGTATGTTTTAGATGTTACCAGATTTGGAAGACTTCGAAATCACCATAAAAGATTTCCGTGCCTCCTGTCATACTTTATCTCTTAGGATACTTGACTTGATGTCAGTAGGCCTAGACTTAGAGGTTAGTCAAGTTAACATGTAACTAAATTTTCGTGTACGTTTTCTTTTAGCGAAATGTTACCTTACGTTGTAGAGACGTTTTCTGGAGAAAACAGTTCCATGTAGTTTATCATGCGTCTTGTGAGCTGATCTTTTAGACCTCTAGAAGATGGGATGTTAGATGTCTATATCTACGGTAAGGTTTAACTAGAAAATCCTGTTTCGAAATAACTTATCTTTGGTGATACCACTTATTGTATATTTTCAGTTATTTTTTTTTTTTTTTTTTGTATTTTGTCTACATTTTTGTCATGTAATGTTTTAAAACGTTCGAATAGTGGCACGGTCCAGAATATACATGTGTACTTGACGTTGTTCTTTGATTATTGAACATATGATGATAACGAAATTTATTGAATGATGGGGTTCGATCACTTTGCATTCTCCTCCTAGGATCAACATTTAGACCTTTAGTATCACTGATGAGTTTGGAAGATCTAAATACTGTATGACGCAGTTTATTCATTGTCTTGCTCTGTTCTATTTAACTCCGAATTTATATTAATAGGTGCTATTCACTTGTGTGTCTTTTGTACAACTCTCTTAATTATCAGGTATATCAAATCACCAATAGAACGTAATAGTTTACAACTGGTCTCTTCTTGCCTTACAGGACAAGTCCTTTTTACGAAAATGTCATGCATATTTTGGACAAAAAGGAAATTCGTCGGTATTGAAGACGATATTCTATCCAGCGTTACCTCTTGATGAAGGTATCAAGAAAGAAAACAATGTTCATAATTATACAGCAGTCATAATTCGGAAAAAACTGACACAAGCACGTCCTTGTTAACCACTAAGAAAAATGCAAAACATACTGATGATCCTGACGTTCTTTTAAAATTACTATCAGATATATGAAAATGACGAAAATTTCCGAATGATAGGGTTAGTGCATGTCCAATCTAGATTTTGACATGTTTTCGATTGCTTTGGTTTTTCCCAGTTGCAAGATTTGGAGTCCTTAGCATCACTGACAGGACGAATAGGCTGTATGCTGTAGTATAATTCATTGTTTGGCTCTACTGCATCTTATCTAAAATTGTACTATATGGTGCTATATACATTGTGTCTTTTGTACAATATTATTATATTTTTTCATTTAAATGTTTTTAACATGTGTTTCCTGTGTAGAATTCCAAACTAACTATTTTAAGAAATATTTTTCCGTGGAGGTTTGATACAATGTGAAGAACGTCCTAAGATAAATTTTTATGTTACAAACGTAACTCGATAGATTTTCCGGTGAATAACTTCACTTGACACTTTCACTGTGAAGAGTTTTTCTAGACACATTTTACTGTGAAGAACACCAATATATGTATATGTTATAATATATTCTAGTGTAGATCATCATTAGCTATATTGACTCGTACAATAATTACATAAAGGTATCAAACCGAACCAATTACGGTGTGGAGAACATTCAGACTACGGATCCCTTACACTGCTGTTTCAGGACGATGCAGGTGGTCTAGAGGTAGGTTGTATATGAAGACAATGATATGACATAGGGATATTTTTTTATCTTTTATAGAATTGTATGTCATTTCTCCCGCGCAATCTGCAAATTGATTAACTTGATTAAAGTTTTTTAAAAGTATATTTCATAGAAAGCAGTTGTTCATGCAATTAAATTAACGACTTATGTAACTCAATATTTTTAAAGTTTACTTTGTTTAAATAGGTGGCCAATTTCGATGGAGAATACATACCAGCAAACCCGATCCCAGGAACAATATTGATCAATATTGGAGACTTGATGCAGAGGTGGACTTCCGACAAACTTATCGCCACTGTAAATGATCAGATATATATGATGCCTAATTCCCTCCTTTCCTTCTACTTTAATTTGAAAACATGAAAATGTTATGTTTAAACCTCAATTTAGTATGTGCGTTTTTTCAGGAATAGACGCGTAACCTTTAAAAAAACTGCTTTTATTACTGCCTGATAGATGTACCCAGTCCGTGTACAGTAACAAAGACCTCTGTGCAAAGTTATGGAAAACTGCACCTTTGTTATTGCGTTAAATTGTGAAGCAAATAGTTAAGGTACCATTTCAACATAGTTTATTTTAATTACAAACATACTGTTTTCGTTATTTTGAAATGCAAACTTTTGTCTATTTTTAGAAACATAGGGTGGTGATTCCTGAGGAAGAGTTAAGAAAGAGAATGAATCGTCAATCTATTGCATTCTTTATCCAACCTGACGATGAAGTGATAATCCGGAGCTTGGACAAGTCTGATAAATATAAACCAATTCAAAGTTTACAGTACCTACTGGATCGTCTGGGACGTACATACTGATTGGTCCTCATGATTAATGATTGCACAGGCACTTTCGACTTTAATCCGTTCATGTATCCTGATTGGTGATACATAAGAACAACTATGCCTGATTTGCGATAGTTATGATTTAATGAATCGTTCTTGCAGTTCTCAAAGTATGATTGTTAATGAGCTCCACGGGAAAACCGCTCCCATTATCATATTAGTATATATATTTATATATACATCAAGAAAATACGAACATGTCAGCATAATAATCTAAGACAAAATACGAACAAAAGAAATTAAAATGTTCACACTTATCATACAGCTTAGTAGAAAGCCGACCATGTTAGTTACATTGTAGGAAGATATCGAGATAAGCGGCTAATGAAGAAGTCTGTCATCTCCTTGATACGATAATTGTGGTCAACACATATCTTGTTACTGAAGAAAAATAAGACGTCATCAATATGTCTAGAAGTGAATTCAAATGACTTTGCATGTAGTCTTTCCACCACACCCGAAGACGATGTTTCCAAACAGAAACTCGAGCACTTTGATGATTATTTCTATAAGATATATCTGTTGGTCAATTCTGCACATTATGTCCAATAAATACAATGATAAAATATGTCGTTGTTAATCATTGATAATATTGAGGTAAAAATATACCTGAACATTTTAAAAAATATTGCATAAGTAAAAATGTCCCCTGTAAAAATTGTATTTATTATTTCAATATTACAAACCGCTTGTCTGTAGCAGTTTTGTGTTTCTCAGAAAACTGAGAAACGAATCGGTCTGTGATGTCATTGCTGTGTCCTTGGACATGCAATTAAGCCTAATTGCTAGATTACATGCGACGGGCCTCTCATATGTTGGTCGGCTAACTAGCCACCAGTTACTACATGAATTTCTTGCTTCAAAATGTCTTTAGAATAACTGATAGAATCATGTCACACAAACATGTGGTTATTGTATATTTTATTTCTTCAATTCTCGCTAAACTCGTGTTTTTGACACTTTTGCAAAATAATTTGCTCGCGTGAATACAATACCATATACGACAACCACTCGATGTATAACCTCTGCTTAATGTTGTGTTTATCAGTGTATACATATAGGTTATAGTTTTCCACAACTGATATGAATTATCAAGACGTCAGATGATGTCGAAATAACTTTCAATGAATAACGTATGACATCTCAGTATTATAGTAGTTATGTGTGTTGTGGATACATCATTTGTTGTGACAACGAATGGTTATCTACACCAGTTTAGCAGACATATAATACATGGCGCGTGTGTGCAGCGGGGGGGAGGGGGTGGTGTATGTGAAGGTGTGAGACTTTCTTATATATTTGTTTTATTCACATGAATGACTTTGACAGTCGGATGGAGAGAACGAACGAACGAACGATATGAAAAATCATTCGATAAAGTAGAGTAAACATTATTCCAAAGTGACTTTTAATAATTTTTTGGGAAAAAATCACTCTTTCATGAAAAATCCTGAATGTTCGGTTCCATTTCATTTGAGATTTATGAAACTTATGATAAATTTTACCCTCGTTTATCAACAATCCATGGCCATGTTTGATATCTTATATGAAATTTACACTCATGTAGCATAATTCGTTATCAGTGATAATATCACTGCAGATTAATATGTGTATCATAGAGAACATCACGGCACGTTGTACAGGTTTGTTAACTTTGTGATTTCTTATACATTACAAAATAATAAGAAATCATTTGATCTAAATTGTGTACAAGGAATCCTCTCTGATAGATAGCTCCAGGGTTTCGGTGTTTTGACGCTAAAGAAGCAAATAATTTCTTGAATATTTTAGGGGTCACAATAGCTCAGTCGTTTAGATCGTTGGCCTACGTGACTTCAAGTGAAGATTTCAGGTACGTATTTCGAAGATTCTAACCTGTGGCCGTTTGTGTTTCACTAGTCTGTTCTGACATGTTTGCGCACTTGGAAAAGAAACTTTAGCCTTATTGTTTTGGATGGCATACAACAGGCCTCCTGTATGTTGTTCAGTGAGGTAGCCACCAACCACTACGCCTCAAATTGGCCCTGGTTGTTCACGAGGCGATAAATACCACAACCAAAAACAAACGACATATTTTTTAATACTTGATACCAACTGTAGTGTAGGATTTTGTCATTAATTACTGCTTGTATATACAAATTCTCTTATTAAACAAAAGGAACATTTAACACAAAGGATTCCATCGGCTGCCATGGCGAATATGACAACTGTCCCAATAGTTGACATAACCGGATACGGCCTTGACGTAGTCAATGAGGACAAGGTGGACACAGAGACTGTCCGTTACATGGCAGATGATATATGCAGGGCAATGAGAGATATCGGTTTCTGTTATATCAAAAACCATGGAATTCCTCAATCTAAGGTACGTCATATTTGTTGAACATAGGGAAAATTCAAATATAGAAAATGTATTCTGGTCGCTTTTGCTGTCATTGCATTTCATATCCATGATATCGTTAGAATATTATTAACATATATCTATCTATCTATCTATCTATCTATCTATCTATCTATCTATGTAATCAATAATCTTTCTTTTTATACAATATGCATCAACTTACCAATGTAACATTTAATTATATAGATTGATCAAATGAATACAGTGGCGATGGAATTCTTTGACAAACCAGTTGAGTACAAAAATGCTTATCAGAGACGACATATTACTGGCATCCATGGATGGGCACCTCGAGATATGGAAACGTAAGAAATTCACAGTTATCCCTAAATATACCTTGAAAAGACGAAGAAATTTAATTTAGAGAAATAACAAGTATACATTTTGTTATTTTCTAAGGCCGTTTGTCGTGTTGGTTTTTTTGGTCTCTTGTTTTTTCGTTAATGTATATGTTGGCTTATTGTTTTCTTGAGGTTAAATCCAGACCGACCCAGTGACTTTAAAGAAGCGTTTAACTTCACACCGATGGACGCCGATGGGGTAAGGAAAATATCTTAACTTCAACACTCCAGACCACTCACTGACTAGTCTCAGAAGAAGAAGCAGTTAATTCATTATCATTTAATATTGAATTAAACCATTGTGATATATAAAAACCGTTAGATAAAATGGCAGCTTTCGTTTAAATTTGTCCTCCAAATTTTTGTCATTAAATTATATCAAATTGTAAGTTTATAAAGTTATGTGATAAAAAAGTATCTTAAATTATTTGAAATGAAAACTCACTTTTTCAAATCAATAATTATTTTCTTCTTCGCCTTTAGAGGTTCCCTGACGTCCAAGACTTTGAAGTAACAATGACAGATTTTCTTCTTATTTGTCACAAAATGACTCTTAGAATACTAGACCTGATGTCAATCGGCCTACATTTAGAGGTAAGGTGCATGCAATATAGCTTACATTGTTTACGTCCGTAGGACATCGTCCTAGTTTCTCATATCAGCATAATGATAGTCCGGAGTTAGTTTCAATTTTCAGATTAAGCAATTGAGCAAACCAACTGACTCTGCATCGGAAAAAACAGAGATAACGAAGAAGTTCATTTAGAAGAGGAAAGGAAAACATCCTATAGTTTGCGATATCAAATAAATAGTTTCAAAATGCTCATTTCTATATCAATAAAACTATTATTTTCTGCGGACAGGGAAAATTTCGACTCAGTTCAGCTTTCACCTTTTTCTCTTTCTATCAATAGGGCGATAAGTAAAACGTGAACCTACATTTGACATTAAGTCATGTTTATCAGAGAAAATTAAGCTCTGCGCGAAAATAGCAAAATTTATTTCAGGACGAAAATAACCCTTGGCGTATATTTCCATATATATCTATTTTTTGGAAAACATTCATTGATCGATGAATGAATTAGATATTAAACAGTCATCAATGTGATAACATGATACCAAATATATAAAAACCATCGAGTAAATGTTCACTTCGTTGATATTTTGTCCTCGTTATGTCGATGTTCCGTTCGAATTACGATTTAGTTAAATGCATTATTCCCGTTTGAAAAACGTATTATATGTACCATTGCTTTCAGGACAGACAATTCCTCCGAAAATGCCATAAAGCTATTGGTCAGAAAAATAGTACTACAACACTGAGGGTCAATTTTTACCCAGCATTACCGTCTGACGAAGGTATGAAATAAATTAAATAGAGAAAGAATACACAAAAATTTCGCAGGAAAAGCGTTAATAAAAGTCAGGAAAGATTAATCAACTATATAATACGTGTGATGAATAAAATTTCCTCATTATGAATTTTTCCGTCAAGCCCAATCTTTTACATGTTGCAGGTGATTCGATATCCTAAAGCGTGTTCATAATTTTACAATTTTCGCGCAAAATGTCTGGGGAGACGATGATCTCATTGAGGAATATTTCCTATTATAACTTTGCTGTGGGATAAGAATTCGGACGTGTTCATTAGTATGCAAGGTAGATCCGTTGTTGTTTAGCCTTTTCACATGTGGGAACAAAACATTACTTAATTTGAATGTCCAAGATTTACATGGCAGGTAACTTTTATGAAACAGAAGACGCTTATCCTTCCGGCACTCTTTATTCTCCTAGGACTTTTTCAGCAACATCTGTGTAAATACTTCTTTTGTTCATATTTTGTTACAATCTCATCGAATTAAATTTTGGTAACACTGCGTACGTCCTTCTTGTAGATATGAAACCGAACCAGGTTCGATGTGGAGAACACTCGGACTACGGTTCCCTCACACTACTGTTTCAGGACGACGTTGGAGGACTAGAGGTATTTATGTTGGTTTTTTTTAAACAAAATTTCAGCTTAATTAGCTTTGATCAAGTACTGACAGATAAACATTGAGAAGAAACGTGAAAAATGAAAAAATGAAGTTATTTGCTTCGAGTTTCCATTTTTTATTTTCTTTATTTGAGGTCAAATATTATTTTTCATCGACAGGTACGTAACGTTGAAGGCGAATATATTCCAGCTCCCCCAATTCCTGGTACAGTGCTTATCAACCTCGGAGATATGATGCAGAGATGGACCGCTGATGAACTCCTTGCCACAGTAAGTTCATTGAGATCAATTTTTTTTATTCAATTCAAGCAAGAAACTGCTTATGACCTATTAAAATACAGAGTTAATGTTTCCACATACACTGAAAATTTATGATATAAATCTGCTAATACAGTGATTATGAAATTATTTTATCAATCTCTATTCTTAATTCAATGTTAGTGGTTTCGATGGAAGCACTTTTTTCACTGTAGGGGAGGGGCGGAAAGAACCTGCAGTTATTTTTTCTTTTTCCTGCCCGATTTGGATTTGAATATCCGTCGCTTTAAACAGAGACGATGTTATGCGCAAAGAAATATGCACCCGACCATCGATCGTTGCCTAATCCTCTCAAAATGCATGTCTGTTGTATTCTTTTAACAATTCTGAAATGAAAAAAGACGATGAACTAAATTTTGAAAGTTTGACTGATAGGAATTGCATCATTTTGGGGTACATTTCTGAAAAAGGGGATGAAATGTGAATATATTTTACTGTGTAATAGTAATATCAAAATATGTAATTAATATATTGGTCACTTTATTTCACAGAAGCACAGAGTGTTGATCCCCGATGATGAGATGACAAGGAGAAAGAGTCGTCAGTCTATCGCCTTCTTCGCAGTACCTGATAATGATGTGATGATAGAATGTCTGGACAAATCCGATAAATACGAACCCATCTCGAGTCTGCAGTTCATACAAGAGAGAATAGCACCAACATATTGACAATACACATTTAAAATACATATCATACACTACCAAATGACGAGTTAGAGTTGAAAACCTCAAGAAAAACAACATATTTAGCTGCATCCAAGAAGGTATCCATTTATTTGTATTCCATCGTATATACTCGCAATCCTGCGATTTAATTTTTTGTAAATATTAGATATCATGTTTCTTTCGGCATAGACTGTGTATGTATGGCAATGTTTTGGAAGTTGTCGACAACTGACGGATAAACCGGCGATAGTATTGGTGAAGATAACAAGGAAGTGTTAAGATTGTTACAATGATGTCATTGGGATAAACATGTATGCTCTTTCTATGAGCGGTATGAGTCTGTACATGTTTGGTGTTGGTGTTTTTTAATATGACATTATTTAATAATTGATAAATATTTACATCGCGAATGTTATGGTCATTGAAGCATAAGACTCTTTTTCTCCCGGAACACCTGGTCTTACTTTATCTAAAGCCTATGTGTATATAATTTCATCGAATTTGAGTTCGAATTAAGTCTATTATGTTGACGTGTAAGTATTTTCTTTATTATTCAAATTCGTTACCATGTCATTTGTAATGTCATTTAGTATGAACTTTGTATGCTTCCGTGAAATGAAGGCATGGTGAGAATATTGTATGCATTGTCTGATTAATCCTTATTCACTAATGTGTGTCGTTGCAGGTATATTGTAAATATTGTTATTTTCGAAGCAACCTGTCCCTTTATCATGATACAAATATTACATAAATAACATCACATACATAGAACATGAAACAAATGCAAAGTTAGGGACAATACGGGCAAAAACAAAGACAGGGACAAAGTAGAAAAAAAAAAACAAAAAAAAAAACAGACGAACAATAATTTACTGGATCACAACATAGGTTATCATGCGTATTACTCAGTGTGAAAATAATCTAGTAAGTAATATCGACGGTACGGTTCAACATTGGTGTCAGTGTCACTTTGTATATTGTCATACATTATACAAGTTTGTAAAGGTTAGTCTGACAGTATACTTATCTAACTTTATAAACATTGAGTCCAAATGATAAGATAACCTCCGAATGAACAATGATAACCATTAAAAAGGCTGTGCAGTCAATACGAAAGGGGAGATAATAAAAAAATAATGATTTCATGATACATAATGTTTTTCTCTTACTGAAACGTGTAACTTCTTATCATGGTCCAGTGCAAACATATCATATATTGTGGCAGGATGATTTTTAAATTTCCAGATCAGGAAAGATATTTTTCTTCGACATTTCTTGTAAAACGTTTGTTATCTTCTCAAGAAGCTCACGTCGTCTACCAAACGACACATTTCTGCATACCATATTTACCATGATGTACACCGATTATATTGGAATTATTTGGCTGAAAACTCCTTATTTTTGTGAATTGTTGTGTTTTTAATATTTACACAGAGAAATGTCTTTTTTCCTATTTTTTTCTTCTCCCTTTCCTTTAGCTTCTGGTTCCCCTACCCCCAACTTTATCCCCATATCAAATAGAGTTTGTTCTAAGTAACAAGCACTTTGTAAATCATTTGACATGCCAGGACACAGCAGCCTGAATTATGCAATTCACACTTGCTTCATTTGTTAATCCTGTTCAATATGCTCAATCCTTTCAAAACATTTTTTTTTTGTTGAAATCGATTTATAATAATAATTTTGAAACCAAAAACCGTTCTGAAACTCGGCCTTACTTCTGAAACAGTGTTTTCAAAGGAAAGGAGTGGTATTGCTCGAAATAATCGTCTCGCTCGTGCTTGATGTTCTAGAAAACTGAAAGAAAGTGATCGCATAATCTGTTCATCCATTATGTAACATGTTTTGTAATGTTTCTTGTTTCGTGCGTTTCCGCGTGTTTTAATCAATCTAAAGTAGCCACCTTTCCCTTCGTATTCAGTATACAGGATTGTGAAATCTTTTGATCTTCCGGTTGTGTCTATCAGGATTATTGATTTTTAAAGTCCTTTTAATTCCAGAAGACGGGACATATTTTAAGTGAATAACAACTTTCATGTGCTAATGCTTAAATTAAATCACTTATCAGATGCTTTTAGAGAATAAAGCACATATCAGTTAATGGTTGAATGCAAATTTCATGGATATATTGTGTGTACTATGTTCCATTCTACATTAAGACGAAAAATTATATAACATCATACAAACATTATGTAACATCAAGGTCAACAATAAAGAGATGAATATAAGTATGTTGCGTGTATATTTAAATTATTGATTTCCATCTTAGTTTCATAGTAAAACTTTCTTCTGACTCTAAATGGTCTTCACATTTAACTCTTGTCAAAACTGTTTTGTGAGAAACAGCATCTCCGTTTTTTTAATTCTTTCTGAAAGATTTGTTTTGATAAAATTAAGTTTGGTGTTTTCGATATTGGAAATCAAGTAATACTCTCGTGGTATTATTACTTTGTCATAAATTTTGAAGTAAAAATCAATCATCCCAGGACATTTAGCAAATGGATTTCCAAGACATGACAAGGTACGGCCTTGACGTGGTCAATGAGAACGAGGTGGACACACAGACTCTCTGTTCCATGGCCAAAGACATCTTTTGGGCAATGAGGGATGTTTGTTTTTGTTACATAAAAAACATGGGATTCTCGAGTCTTTGGTAAATTCCATTTCCACCAAAAAAAGTGGGGAGTGAAAAGAGTATATTTTTGTGCAGTACATGTAAGGATATGTGCATTGACAATCTACCCTAGATCACTTCGGATATTCCTCAGTTGCCTCCTTGGCTTCAAAGTTGAGGCCCTAAACATCACAAAGGAGTTTCCGAACAGCTGTATGATGCAGTTTAATTCATGGTTTTGGCTCTTCTTTTTCCAACTCTAAATTAGTGTGAAAAGAGCTATCCACTTGTGTCTCTTTTCTAGGATCACTGGTTTTAAATCTAGGTCCTTAATATCACTGGCGCGTCCTAGAAGGACAAAATAGCCAACGATATGTATCTAATTCTCAATTTGCGTGAAATGGTGGTCTTCAAATTTTTGTGTGTTCTTTATACAATCTTTGTAGATAGGAAAGTTTGGACATTAAAGTGATATAATATGAAGCATCTCTCTTTAACATTATAAATAAAAACCAAACAAGTAAACATGGCGTCTTAGACTTTCTTTGAGAAACCAGTTGAGTACAAAATCGTTTATCAACGTCAGCCTACTGGCATCCATAGGTGGTGCCCCAAGGAGACAGATAGGTAAGAAATACAACTATTTGGAGACAGGAATATCAATTAAAAGATGTAATATATCATGATTATTTTTGATCAATTTATGTAAAGATTCATCTTTTATCACACCATTGTGTTCATAAGTTTCTTTTTATATGCACTCAATGTTTAAATATGGCCAAATCCTGATCGACCAGGTGACTACAAAGAGACATTTAACTACACTCCGTTGGACGCAGGCAAGGTAAACGTTTCACACAATTATTAACAAGGATGAAGATAGTATTTTATCATAACCTGCTTCGATCATTTGCATGGCTCAGAATATGCACAAGTGATCCATGTTCTTTTGAAATAATTTCATATCGAAAACTTCAAAATGGATCGAAGTTCGGGATTAATTCGTCTCCACATCATGGTTTTAACATTTATTTCGATCAAATAGAGTTTTCCTCTGTCGCCTCTTACGTTTGAAAAACTATACTATAGTATTACCGACGAGTCCTAGAAAGACGACACAGCTGTATTGATGTAGTGAATGTTATTATTGTCGGCTTAACTGTATCTAATTCTATATATTTAAAAGGCGATATTCACTTTTTGTATTATCTTATAATGCTATAAAACTCAAAGGCCTTTTACTACTACAGCTTTCAAATCAAAATCTGAGAATTAGTTTCTAGTTAATACTTTGCATATTCTGAGATTTATGATTATTCCATATCTTTTTGTAAGTCATCCCTGACACTGAGGATTTCGGAATAACCATGAAAAAAGTCCAAGCGGTTTGTCATCAACTGTCTCTAAGAATATTTGACTTGATATCAATCGACTTTGATTTAGAGGTAAGGTCGTTCTTGCAATAAATACATTGTGTCCATGCAATGCAGTTTGGTATAGTGTATATTATATCTTTGAGTATCTTAGGTCGGATGATGTAGTGATGGACACGATGGACAAACAACAATAGTACAACTTAACTTCCGCGTAAAAATACACCTAAATATTTTTAAAAGTAAATGTAGATATGTGTCATGGTGATTACAGACATAACGCAGGAGATATGTTCATCAGTCCGATATCATAATAATAATTGATAACATTCATAGTAAAATGATTTTAAAATTAATATAAAAAATGTAATTTTGGGGAAGGAATGTTTCGAGGACGCAGTAATATAAAAATTGTAATTTTTGAGGGACTTTTTTGCCTCCGTGAAAACAGTATATGTCTTGGGGTATCGTCGCAGGCTGTTGGCGGGAGCTGCGTTTTAATACAGAAGATATCAATAAATCTAGGAAATGTTATCAATATATAACCGACACATTTCTATATCCAGTCAGTTTGGTAATAACATTATATTTCATCATAGAAATGAATGTTTATTTATGCTAGTTTTTTTTAGGACAGACAGTTTCTGAGAAAATGTCACAAAACCACGCGCCAGAAAAGTAGCATTACAACATTACGAGTAATATATTACACAGCATTTTCGACCGATGAAAGAATTTGATATTATTGTATATATAATCATAAAATCTCATGTTTTCACGGGACTCAAATTTCATGGCTTTCCGGAAATGTACATTTTTCTTTGGTACTTGATTTCGTGAATAAATCTTGCTCACTAAACCAATTAGCTATACAATCTATGCTTTATATGTTTATCATTTCGTGAGACATTTAAATTTGTGGACTAAGAGTAACCATGAAATCAACGAAATTAAAACCTCCACGAAAATGAATGATTTAACAGTATACTATGACAGCCCAAATTCAGGGAATAAGA